AGCAGAGTGAAGGAAAAGCAGCCAACAAGTGCTCAGCATATGTGGGAACTCCTTCAACACTGTTGGAAAAGCATTCCAGGTGAAGCTGGTTGAGAGAATGCCAAGTGTGCAAAGCTCTTATCAATGCAAAGGGTGGCTATTTGAAGAATCTCAAATATAAAATATATTTTGATTTGTTTAACACTTTCTTGGTTACTACATGATTCCATATGTGTTATTTCATCGTTTTGATGTCTTCACTATTATTCTACAATGTAGTTAATAGTACAAATAAAGAAAAAACCTTTAATGAGTAGGTGTGTCAAACTTTTGACTGGTATTGTATATATTGAATTATAAACTGGGTGGTTCGAGCCCTGAATGCTGATTGGCTGTCAACTGTGGTATATCAGATCGTATACCACGGGTATGACAAAATATAAATGTTTATTGCTCTAATTACGTTGGTAACCAGTTTATGATAGCAATAAGGCACCTCAGGGGGTTGTGGTATATGGCCAATATACCACGGCTAAGGGCTGTATCCAGGCACTCTTGAGTTGCGTCGAGCTTAAGAACAGCCCTTAGCCATGGTATTTTGGCCATATACCACACACCCTCGTGCCTTATTGCTTAATTATAGTGTACAATGCACTGCCGAAATACCTGGGTTGTATATAACAATATATTCCAGTCATTATCTGAATTTTATTGATACACTGTAAGCTGATGAATTTCAAGCAGAGAGACAGGCGATACTGTATCAATAGAAAAGCTGATCTTCCACAATGTTGCATGGGGCAGACATGGCGTACAAAATTAATATGTAAAAACACTGCTATTGTGAACCACTAATCTAACTGGATTGGGGAAGTCCTGTGGTCTGTGGTTGGGGAGTAGGATGGGAACTGTTTGTCTTGTTCGGTCTTATCACTTGTCTTTCTGCCATGTGTACCTGTTTTGTGTACCTTATTAAAAATGATACAACCATTTGATCACAAAAAATAACAAAATGGTATACAACACCGTGCTACAGTTTTACAGTAGCCAACTGCTTTACAATACCCATTTTTCTGATGATTTGTCCTACGTCTGTACTGTATAAGGATTATACAACTAAAATAATAATAATATGCCATTTAGCAGACACTTTTATCCAAAGTGACTTAGTCATGTGTGCATAAATTTTTATGTATGGGTGATCCCGGGGATCGAACCCACCACCCTGGCGTTACAAGCGCCATGCTCTACCAATTGAGCTACAGAGGACCACATTGAGCTACAGAGGACATACAGAGCCTTCAGAAAGTATTCATACCCCTTGACATATTCCACATTTGTTCCACTTATTGTTGTGTTACAGCCTGAATTCAAAATGGATTAAACAGATTTTATCTTCACCCATCTACACACAATACCCCATAATGACAAAGTGAAAACATGTTTTTAGAAACTTTTGCAAATGTATTGAAAATGAAATATAGAAATAGCTAATTTACATAAGTATTCACACCCCTGATTCAATACTTTGTAGAAGACATTTTACAGCTGTGAGTTTTTCTGGGTAAGTCTCTAAGCGCTTTCCACACCAGGATTGTGCAACATTTCCCCATTACTCTTTTCAAAATTCTTCAAGCTCTGTCAAGTATTTTTTTGGGGGGAGGTTTTGCCATAGATTTTTTTACGTCAAAACTGTAACTCGGCCTCTCCGGAACATTCATTGTCTTCTTGGTAAGCAACTCCAGTGTAGATTTGCCTTATTTTAGGTTATTGTCCTGCTGAAAGGTGAATTAATCTCCCAATGTCTGGTGGAAAGCAGACTGAACCAGGTTTCCCTCTAGGATTTTGCCTGGGCTTAGCTCCATTCCGTTTCTTTTTTATTCTGAAAAACTCCCCAGTCCTTAACGATTACAAGCATACCCATAACATGAGGCAGCCACCACTATGTTTGAAAATATGGAGAGTGATACTCAGTAATCTGTTGTATTGGATTTGCCCCAAACATAACACTTTGTATTCAGGAAAAAAAGTTAACTGCCACATTTGCTGCAGTATTATTTTGGTGCCTTGTTGCAAACAGGATGCATCTTTTGAAATGTTTTTATTCTGTACAGGCTTCCTTTTTTTCACTCTGTCAATTAGGTTAGTATTGTGGCGTAACTACAATGTTGTTGATCCATCCTCCGATTTCTCCTATCACAGCCATTAAACTCTGTAACTGTTTTAAAGTCACCATTGGCCTCATGGTGAAATCCCTGAGCGGTTTCCTTCCTCTCCGGCAACTGAGTTAGGAAGGACGCTTTTATCTTTGTAGTGACTGGGTGTATTGGTACACCATCCAAAGTGTTATTAATAACTTCACCATGCTCAAATGGGTATTCAATGTCTGCTTCTTGACATTTTTACCCATCTACCAATAAGTGTCCTTTGCAAGGCTTTGGAAAACCTGCCTGGTCTTTGTGGTTGAATCTTTGTTTGCAATTCACTGCTCGACAGAGGGAGCTTGCAGATAATTGTATGTGTGGGGTATAGAGATGAGGCAGTCATTCAAAAATCATGTTAAACAGTATTATTGCACACAGAGGTCATGCAACTTATTAAGCACATTTTTACTCCTGAACTTATTTAGGCTTGCCATAACAAAGGGGTTGAATGCTTACTGACTCAAGACATTTCAGCTATCATTTTTTATTAATTTGTAAACATTTCAAAAAACATAATTCGACTTTGACATTATGTAGGTCAGTGACACAAAATCTTAATTTAATCTATTTTAAATTCAGGCTGGAAATAAAGTCAAGGGGTGTGCATACTTTATGAAGGCACTGTATTTCTCAACATGCTCATAACCTGCCATTGGATACAAATTATTAAAAACATTGTGCATGTCAAGTTATGGTCAAATACTGTGTGGAAAATGATATGTACCATCTACTACCATTTGAAAATTAAATGTACCATCTACTATTCAGCATTTCAAAAAATCGCATATTGGATTTTTTGCTATTGGATTAAATGGTAGTTAAAATGACTAAATGGTGAGTCTATCATTATCTGATGTATTGGTGACTAAACTAAATGTTCTCAAGGTATGTCACTGAAAACGTTGATTTTGCTTGAAGGACTGTGAAACCCCAATGAATGCACAATCAAAAGTTCTGAACATAAGATAGAGGGCATTACAAGTGTTATCAATTTCGAGTTTTGTCATTTCAGTTTCGAAAATCTACCACTTACATCTGAAAAATGTGCCAAAGTGATTGAAAAAAACGAAAAAGTTCAAGTTCCCCAGAACTGTATAAAAATAAAGTTGCACAGTATATACCCATTAAATTGTTGGGAGCATATGCAGGGTATGCGACGCGTATGTAGATTGTGCTGCTTTCTTTATTTTAATACAGTTTACGTTCCGTTAGACAGCACCTCTACGAAAATGTTGGGTGTACGTCAGCTCATGCTTTTTACCACCCTATCATAACCCCCAAAAAACTGTTTAGTTTCAAAATATATTTTAAACCACAGTATGTCAATCTCATGGACTGTCAATCCTTGCATCTACACTGGGGATTAAATATAGGTGGTAGAGGGAGGACTGACAGTCAGTGGTGTAAAGTACTTAAGTAAAAATACTATAAAGTACTAAAGTAGTTTTTTTGGGTTACTATTTATATTTTTTGACTACTTTTACTTTTACTTCACTACATTCCTTAAGAAAATATGGTACTTTTTACTCCATACATTTTCTTGACACCCAAAAGTACTCGTTACATTTTGAATGCTTAGCAGGACAGGACAATAGTACAATTCACACACTTATCAACAGAACATCCCTGGTCATCCCTACTGCCTCTGATCTGGCAGACTCACTAAACTGACATGCTTCGTTTGTAAATTATGTCTGAGTGTTCCCCTGGCTATCCGTAAACTTAAAAAAACAAGAACATTGTGCTGTCTAGTTTGCTTAATATAAGGAATTGTTAATGATTTATACTTTTACTTTTGATACTTAAGTAAATGTAATTGCTAAAATATACTTTTGATACTTAAGTATATTTTAAACCAAATACTTTGACTTTTACTCAAGTAGTATTTTACTGTGTTACTTTTACTTTTGTCATTTTCTATTAAGGTATCTTTACTTTTACTCAAGTATGACAATTGGGTACTTTTTCCACCACTGCTGACAGTCATACCTCATATCAGAGGTGTCGAGGGCTTCTCATTCATATAGAAATATTGTATAGCCTATAGTTTTGAATACATGGTTTACAGTATCAATATATGTTGAAGATTTTCAACCTAAATGCATTGTCCTTTGGGTGGGGATAAAGTTGTTTGTCCATGTACCAAATGTGTTGTTACATCTGACGTACGGCAAGTTCTGCCTTCATTTGGTTAGGAACTATTTTGTTTGGCAGTGTTGGCAAGTTGGCTCACTTCTTGTTGCAGCTTTGACTGAAACTAACATTGTGCTCACTGCTCAAATACCTTTCAAGATTTTGACATACAATGAGGCAACTTCACAAGTATGACGAAATAGTCCAATACATTATGGTAAGTTCCTCCTCCGAACTAAAACATAAGTACATGTACTGTAAGAGAAACAAAAAAAGGACTTATTCATGGTAACCAAATAGATGTATTTATGCATGGGAAAGCTGACAGAAGCGATACAATTTAGGCTTTGACCAATGGAGGTCAAGCTTGAAGGGCGATAGATTACCAAAATAACAAATCTAGGCTACAATATGGATAGCTAGAAAGTACAGCCTATAGAAACCCAGCGTCAGCAATCAAAAATGTAGGTTTTGTTGAGGACAAAATAGCAGGGTTGATGGGACTCCTATTAGGCTGCTCTAAAAAACTAAAGTCAAAAACACCTTTAAAAAGTTTTATTTTTGAGACTACCCTAATATGTCACAGTTAGGGGGTTTGATTATGGGTAGGCTGAGGGTTAAAGTTAGGGGTTGGCATGCCAGTCACATGCCTTTAGTCGCACCAGCAGAGCACAGCTTCAGACATCAGATCTTTGTGGCCTGCATCCCGCTGTCGCCCCTCGACGGCGGCTTGGGCTGCTCCCGGATCCTCCGCGAGGCAAAGGCGTACAGGAAGGGGTCCAGGCAGCTGTTCACAAACGTGAAGCTCCGGACGACACGCGCTGCCACGCTTCTGTGGCGTAGCAGCGCTGCCGACGCCTCTGGCCAGGAAGCCCGCAGCACAATGCCGGCGATGTCCACCACGTTGACAATGTGCACAGGGATCCAGAGGATGAAGAAGGCGACCACCACACTGGTGACCAGCCACGTCAACTTGGTGCTGCTGAACAGCGCCGTCTGGTTCACCCGCCGGTGGAGGCAGCAGTAGGACGTGACCAGCACAGAGAACGGGACAACGAACCCTAAAAGGGTCTCCAAGACGAGGACAGCAACTCTTTCAGCCTCAGAGCCTGTGTTTCGTTGGCACTTGAGCTCGCCATCGCCCACATCGCGAGTGGCAACGGCGGGGGCAGTCAGGGCACAGGCGAGCCCCCACAGGGCCAGGAGCAGCGCCGCCTCCCCCTTGCGCCGCAGCCTGTTCCACATCTGCGGGTAGAGCACCTGGAGGTAGCGCTGGACCCCGAGTAGAGTGACCGTTAGCACGTTAGCATACAGGCTGAGGTAGAGCAGGAAGGTGGCTAGCTTGCAGGCGGCACGGCCCAGAGTCCATCTGTGCAGGAGAGTATAGATCCACACGGGCACCGTGGCCAGGCACAGGATGTCGGAGGACGCCAAGTTCAGCATGAGGCACAGGGTGAAGTTGGGGCGTCGGGACGAGCGGCGCAGGATGACCACCAGGACAGCTATGTTACCAGGGAGGCCCAGTGCACAGCAAAGCCCCAGGACGATGCTCGAAATCAGGCGACCCGAATCCGGGGAGGTGGAGTCCAAGCTAGAGGAGTTGGAAGAGTTGAGGTTCTCCATGGTCGGTGAAAGAATAAGAGATCTATGAGTTATCTGGAAGACAGTAGATTTTAGACATCTAATTCTTTGTTTCTCGTTTTTTAAATCCTCACAAGTTTGTTATCGTCTCCTCTTGTCATAGAGTGATAATAAGGAAATTGATGTGGGTTAACTGCCTCTGGTCAGCTTCCTCTGAATGAGCTGAATGTGTGTGGGTGTGTGTGTGTGTGTGTGTTAGAGAGAGGTGGAGAGATGTTTGTGGTTAACAGTTAGATACTTTTGTCATTAAGGCTACAGCCAACCTGAGTCTCAGAAATAGACACAATAAACTGAAAAGATAGTTAGTTACAAGCTATAGGCAAAGCATCTACTGTAGATGTGCCTAGGGGCCAGCCATGCAGTTTTTGTATATTTTTTCCCATGAAATCATTCTTCATTTTCCTGTGATTTTAACTTGTGTCAAAAGTTTAAATGATTTGAACCTATTTCAGAAATGGATGCGTAATACATTTAATCCATCTCTTTGTTGCAGGGGCTTGATAAAGGAACAGCTTTTTCTTAGCGCTCTGTTAACTTTGGACAATAGCTTCAATGCTGCCATCTAGTGGCAAGATAAGGACAGAAAGACTATATCAAACATGATTGCACTTTTAATTTCCTCCCTGCCACAGATTCTAGCATAAATCTACCATGACTGCTATCTTATGTTATCTTAATTTGGGAAGATATTGACAACAACTGGACATTTGTACGAAGCACATTTACTTGCAGATACACATATATACAGTACTTGCATTCTCGTGTTTCTTTAACTCACATCGTAGTTCTTGTGTTTTTAATCTATTTTCTATTTCTATATTATCATCATCATCATAACTGCATTGTTGTCAAAGAGCTCTCAAGGTAAGAATTTCCTTGTACTGTTTTAAACCTGTTGTATCCTGTGCACGTGGCGAATTCACTTTGAAACTTGAGGGGGAAGCGACTATCAGTTCTCATATATAGCCTACCGACATTCTCCCTTCATCTCTTCATTGACCTTTCCTTCTTCTATCCATTCATTTGTTCTCTCCTTTATTTTAGGATTGAGTTAGTTACATTGTCCAACTATCTTTTGTCAGTTAAAACCTCAACCTTTTACCGTAACCATTGTCTGTCACCATCTCAAACAGCCACTCCATTCTTTCCAACCAGAATACACAATCCTTATCAAGTCTCACTGAGTCTTTATGAACGCAATCAGATCCACAGACGAGAATATACAATGTGGACTAGGTGGGTCTGTCAATACTAGTCAATGTCAATCGAGACCCATCTATTCAGATGGTATGGAGTGCGCAGAATAAAAGCGGAAAACAGAAAACGACTCTTGCGGTTATCAGTCAATCAATCAATCATCACTGTTAACCATCGTCGTCCTCTTCCGAGGAGGAGCGCATCATGCCTCCGCTATCGTCGTGGTAACAGAGGGCCAGGAGGCGGAGTTGCTCCAGGGACTCCTGGAAGTCTGTCAGCTCAGGTCCCTGGGAGAGGAAGCTGGGGGCGATGCGTCGGGGGTCCAGGGCGCTGGCACCGCGCTGCAGCTCTGATAGCCACGGGCCCAGGGCCGGAGACGACTGCAGGGAGGTGAGCACGGGGAGGCAGGAGACGGCACGGGACCGGTCTGTGGAAGAGAGGATAGGAAGCGGGAGTTAAGGTTAGAGTATAGACCTGACAATAATGAGAGAAACTGTTGGATACAAGCATAGTGAGGCATGAAAATAGAATAGACTTATTTAGGGATTGTGAGGCAGAGATCAGGGCAGAGTGAGAGAAATAGAACTGACTGACAGGGCGAGAGTGAGAAAGGGTTGAATATGCATATACCATCACTTTTGTGTAGCCAGAAAATATGGCATTTACTATTATTTATTATTGTTAATACAGCACAATTTAAACACTTGCCCCTCAATCCCCCCTTCCCTGATACATGTGTAAATAATGGACTATAAATCGTGCCACCCTGGATTATACTTATGCAAAAAATATATATATATATATATACAGTACCAATCAAAAGTTTGGACACACCTACTCATTCAAGGGTTTTTCTTTATTTGTACTATTTTCTACATTGTAGAATAATAGTGAAGACATCATAACGATGAAATAACATATATGGAATCATGTAGTAACCAAGAAAGTGTTAAACAAATCATCTGATGCAGCACTCCATCACTCTCCTTCTTGGTCAAATAACCCTTACACAGCCTGGAGGTGTGTTGGGTCATTGTCCTGTTGAAAAACAAATGATAGTCCCACTAAGCGCAAACCAGATGGGATGGCGTATCGCTGCAGAACGCTGTGGTAGCCATGCTGGTTAAGTGTGCTTTGAATTCCAAATAAATCACAGACAGTTTCACCAGCAAAGCACCCCCACACCATCACACCTCCTCCTCCATGCTTCACGGTGGGAACCACACATGCAGAGATCATCCGTTCATCTACTCTGCGTCTCATAAAGACACGGCGGTTGGAACCAGAAATCTCAGATTTGGACTCATCAGACTAAAGGACAGATTTACACTGGTCTAATGTCCATTGCTCGTGTTTCTTGGCCCAAGCAAGTCTCTTCTTCTTATTGGTGTCCTTTAGTAGTGGTTTCTTTGCAGCAATTCGACCATGAAGGCCTGATTCACGCAGTCTCCTCTGAACAGTTGATGTTGAGATGTGTCTGTTACTTGAACTCTATGAAGCATTTATTTGGGCTGCCATCTGAGGTGCAGTTAACTCTACTGAACTTATCCTCTGCAGCAGAGGTAACTCTGGGTCTTCCTTTCCTGTGGCGGTCCTCATGAGAGCCAGTTTCATCATAGCGCTTGATGGTTTTTGCGACTGCACTTGAAGAAACGTTCAAAGTTCTTGAAATGTTCCGGATTGACTGACCTTCATGTCTTAAAGTAATGATGGACTGTCGTTTCTTGGTTTATTTGAGCTGTTCTTGCCATAATATGGATTTGGTCTTTTACCAAATAGGGCTATCTTCTGTATATCACCCCCACCTTGTCATAACACAACTTATTGGCTCAAACGCATTAAGAAGAAAATAACTTCCACAAATTAACTTTTAACAAGGCACACCTGTTAATTGGAATGCATTCCAGGTGACTACCTCATGAAGCTGGTTGAGAGAATGCCAAGAGTGTGCAAAGCTGTCATCAAGGCAAAGGGTGGCTACTTTGAAGAATCTCAAATATAAAATATATTTTGATTTGTTTAACATAGTTTTGTTGTCTACAATGTAGAAAATAGTACAAATAAAGAAAAACCCTGGAATGCGTATGTGTCCAACCTTTTGACTGGTACTGTATATTCTACTGAGCCATTTACTTTATGTTTGTATTCTTATATTTTATTATTTCTTATTGTTGTTGCATTGTCGAGAAGGAACCTGCAAGTAAGCATCTCATTGGATGGTGTATACCATGAGTATCCTGTACATACGACTAATAAAACTTAATAACAGAAACATAGACCGAGTCAGAGAGATACAAACAGACAGAGTGAGAAAGACAAGAGAAAGCAGTTAGATAAATGGACCAGAAACGTCAGAGAAACATCAGGATTAGATTGACTCACTGTTGAGGGGAGGGGCCTGACTCTGCAGAAAGCCCTGTGGACCCAGGGATTGGCTGAATATCTGTGGGAAGGGCGGGGTCAGCTTACTTGGGCTGGATACAAGCTGAACCGAACTGCACAGGGAGAAAGAGGAAATGGTAGATTGTGATATTCATGTTTTAAACAGCAGGATTGGTTTGGTGTGGGTTATAAAACTACTACAGTAGTGTGTGTGTGTGTGCGCGTGTGTTGAATGCGTGCATGTCTCCAAGCCTGCCTATGTGAGTGTGTGACTTTGTCAGTGCATGTGTGGGATTTAAAACAGGTGCTATTGTGTATGCAAGGATGACACTCACAAAGGTGTAGCAGGGTAGTGGGCATTGATGTAGGAGGCGAGCACGTCTTCCCCACAGTCAAGGCTATGCAGCAGGGTGGGCGGCTGCATCCCTGGTCTCAGCTGGCTGCAGATGGGACCGCAACGTTACAGCAATGCACATTAACATTAGAGCAACGTTTCCACACACCTTCAGAACAATTCAAAACATCTGCAAATTTGTCAACTCAACCTTTGACTGACATGCTGACCAGATGGCACACACGCGTACACATAGACCTACATGTCCCAAAAATACACTTGCAGTTGACAGAGTAACGCAACAGTAACATAACAGCCATGTTTTGTCTCACCTGACCAGACTCTGCCCCTCTAAACCCTTGAGGGTCACTGATTGGCCGAAGCAGTGGCCATCGCCCAGCTCGGGGCAAGACGATAGAGGTTTCCACGGCAATGCATCTGTGCAGTCACCCAGGGCGTCGGGGAGAGAGCTGCCCTGCGCCATAGGAAAGGGGAGGGCTCCGTACGCAGCCACCACCTGAAAAAAAACACACACCTCGGTCATGTTCATTAGGCACCAAATGGAAGAAAACAGACTGAAACCGGGAAGAACTACCTGGACTTGTCCAACAAGAAACGTTTTCAAATGTTTTTTTGTTGTGTGCCCTAATCAATAAGACCCTGATGTCACACACACACTGTACATGTGTTAAATGTATAGTAGGCTATGTGGGGAAGACATATTGATTATCTTGTGCCTTGGACGTTCCCTTCTAAATGTTCTTTGAAGGGGATAACTGAAGCCAACCAGAGCTGCAGTCTAGCTTGAGCTGTTATTTTACTCATACCTGTCTAAACCTTTCAGAGATAAGAATGTCAGGTTTTATTTAACCAGGTTAGTCTCTTTGAGAAAAAACATTTCCTGACATAAGAGATAGCAGCAGGGTTAGCAATGTTACACATAAATAGCTTGATTTTGAACTCAGTGGTAATGGATTCAATGAAAGCACCGAGCTCTCACCTTTCTCCCGGACACTGCCAGTGCGTCTGCAAACTCCCACATGGGGGCGCTGTTGTCCCTCCGCCTGTAGGGGACAGTAAGGGAGTCCATGGCCAGAGCCAGCACAGCACTGGAGTGGTACCACAATGAGGGCTGGAGGAGACAGAGAAGACAGTGTGATGGGAATAGACAGAAAAAGACACACCATTTCTGGGCTTGTAGGACATCTTCTGGGCTTGTAGGACATCTTCTGGGCTTGTAGGACATCTTACTAAAAACTGTAAACATCCTCTCAAGCAACGGTGTGGGAGAGCGATGTCAATCATTTGCACTACAGCTCAATAAAGTCTATATATTTTCAGCGACAGAATGAATACTAAAATAAAGGAATAGACAGATAATAGATTAGAAAAAGTCTGTGACTCACATCGTAATTGAGGTGGGGGAAGGAGGGCGGTTGGGCGGGCCGTCTGCCCAGCCCGCCCTTCAGGGTCAAAGGGCAGAAGAAGGAGCTGTTATTGGCCATGTGGACCATGCCTAAGGAGTAGTTCAACAGGTGGTAGAGCTCCTTCATCGGGGTCTGAGGAAAGCAACACAATGTCATAGGACTACAAGAGCGCCTGGCCAGCTGTACTTATTCACAACACCACACAATAGTTGTGCATAAAACACAATTACTCTATGAGATACAGACAAAACCATATTATAGTCTTTAAATCAGTAGCAAATTGTGAAATAAAAACAAAACCATAGATCTCAGCTGAACTCTGAATTACATTTCTTTCTACAATCTTACAGCGAATAAAACCCATGGCATTACATGGCAAAGAAAAACTGGGTCGTGTTCATTAGGCACCAAACGGAAGAAAACTGACAAACAGGGAGGGACTACCTGGACTTGGCCAATAAGAAATGTTAATTTTCCGTTGCGTGCCCTAATGAACATGACACTGTTGAAGAAAACGGTGCTTCCTGATGAACTGCCTGAAAACACACTGCCAAAAACCTCACTCTTGTCACTCACTGTGTCTGGGTGACTAACAGGTGCGAGCCCCCAGGTAAGGATGCCCCGTCCCCCATAGGAGTCCTGCAGCATCTCGGTGACCTTTGAACCCAGGCCCGAGAAGCCATCGGCCAGGTCACAGAGCACCTGGAACCCCTGGGAGGGAGGGAGGGAGGGGGAAGGTAGAAGGAAGAGCGGGAGATAGAGAAAGGAGAGATGACAAACGGATGAAATCAGCCATTCAAGGAGTGATTGTACCGAATGGGGCCTTTAGAATGAACAAAGTATGTTTGGATGGATATATGGATATTTATGGTATTCGAGACTTGTAGTTTTCCAGGGCCAGGGTTTGTGATAACCCCTATTGGAGAGTCATGGTAGAGGATCACCAGTCAGTTACCTGTAGGTAGTCACACTCCTCTATGAAGAAGTGTAGTCTGTCCTCCAGATCCTCCAGCACTGAGCCATGAAGCAAAGCCTCCCCCTGGCCAAACGCTTCCAGACGGTGGGCCTCCCTGGACACACAATGCCAAAACAAAGTAATTTTCCTGAGAAATCCAAGATAGTTCTGCTGTGGTGTAATTGGAGAAGACCCAGCCACATAATATGACTGGATGTACCCTAAGAAAGGCACTGGGAGTAATGTAGTGTGTGACTTTCTGCATCATTTTTCCGGTTCATATATTTTCTTCTGAAACTCGTCAACCATTTGGGTGTGCATCTTTGGCACACACACAAACTTTGGAACTGGTAGGGACAGCTCAGTGCTTCATGCCCTCTTTTATCCCACTTCTCAGTTTCCAGTTGAGGTTTGGGCAAGGGACAGAGGGTGCATTATAGTTAACCTTTTCTTGTCGTCCTCAACTTGACTTTTAGTAAAACAAAATGTATTTGGTTTAAAATATGTAAAGAATAAAAAAGATAGTAAAATAAAGAGGGTGTGGGGTTGGGTATAGGATACGAACCTGGTTTAGGGTAAGGGTTTAGTTTTTTGGGTTGGGAATGGGATACAAAGAACTGCATCTTTGGCTGTTACTATTTGACTGTATGTGCCTATGGTGATGCTCTCACCCGTCGTGGTTGTACTGGTGGATGACAGAGATTGTGCGGGGGTGCAGGTGGATCCTCAAGAAGTCCGACCACACCCTCACACTGCCCTCCAGTCGGTAGCACTTCTGAGCGCGCTCCAGGCGGCTGTTCACCGTCTCCATGGCAACAGCTCCTACAAAGGAAACATGGATGGATGAAAAGGAAGTGTGTGAGTGACAGAGAGCAGCTCGTTTCTTGGTCTGATCCTCTTTTACCCCATTTCTGGTCATACAGGTTTACACACAATAGTTTGCTAACTTATAAATCATGTTAAATATTGATTAAAATGTAATCTTGGAAAATTTACTTTAAAAGGAAGAGCCCCATCACTGGGTCTTAACGCTTTGTTTTATGGTCCTTACCTGAACAGTGAGGCACTGGAGTTGGGTCAAAATCAACCTCAGCCAATATCTCCCCCTTCTGGACATAAAAAGAACTGTCACAACAAGACACTTGAATGAGAGCCTTTCGAACATGAGTTATGCCTGGTCCAAGAACAACTCTAATTTCCTTACCCTGGGCCCAAACCCTTCGGTGTTTGAAGAAGTGCAAGTATTGGGCAGGTGTAAGTAATATGTTGATGGCTCCACCTAGCCTTCCAACAGGCTTCAGGGAATTTCGGCAATATTGCTTACACCTATCTGGTTCCTTCAGACATGCAATCGGCTAATGCCGGGTGTACACAACTTTCAAAATCCTAACATTGCCGAGCCGCTCACACTAAACTGATGTTTTTTGACTTGCCAACGCAGTGGTGCGCATACTAAATGACTTGGCACAGACGGGGTGTCCCACACTATAAGATTCTTCACTTGGTCGTGAGGATTCTCCATACCACCACTCTGCCTCGCAAAAACAATGATGTGATGAGCTGTGGCTCAAAGCAGCCTCAAACGTTTTCAGTCAGACTTTCACACTTGCCATACAGAGTTGAAATATCTAGCCAACATTTTGAATTGACAAAGGAGATGATTGTGGACTACAGGAAAAGGAGGACCGAGCACGCCCCCATTCTCATCGACAGGGCTGTAGTGGAGCAGGTTGAGAGCTTCAAGTTCCTTGGTGTCCACATCACCAACAAACTATTATGGTCCAAACACACCAAGACAGTCACAAAGAGGGCACGACAAAGCCTATTCCCCCTCAGGAGACTAAAAAGATTTGGCATGGGTCCTCAGATTCTCAAAAAGTTATACAGCTGCACCACCGAGAGCATCCTGACTGGTTGCATCACTGCCTGGTATGGCAACTGCTCGGCCTCCGACTGCAAGGTACTACAGAAGGTAGTGCGTACGGCCCAGTACATCACTGGGGCCAAGCTTCCTGCCATCCAGGACCTCTATACCAGGCGGTGTCAGAGGAAGGCCCTAAAAATTGTCAGACTCCAGCCACCCTAGTCAGACTGTTCTCTCTGCTACTGCACGGCAAGCGGTATCGGAGCAACATGTCTAGGTCCAAAAGGCTTCTTAACAGCTTCTACCCCCAAGCCATAAGACTCCTGAACAGCTAATCAAATGGCTACCCGGACTATTTGCATTACGCTGCTGCCACTCTCTGTTTATTATTATTTATTATTATTTATGTGCCCCCGCACATTGACTCTGTACCGGTACCCTCTGTACAGTGAGGGGAAAAAGTATTTGATCCCCTGCTGATTTTGTAAGTTTGCCCACTGACAAAGAAATGATCAGTCTATAATTTTAATGGTAGGTTTATTTGAACAGTGAGAGACAGAATAACAAAAAAATCCAGAAAAACGCATGTCAAAAATGTTATAAATTTATTTGCATTTTAATGAGGGAAGTAAGTATTTGACCCCCTCTCAATCAGAAAGATTTCTGGCTCCCAGGTGTCTTTTATACAGGTAACGAGCTGAGATTAGGAGCACACTCTTAAAGGGAGTGCTCCTAATCTCAGCTTGTTACCTGTATAAAAGACACCTGTCCACAAAAGCAATCAATCAGATTCTAAACTCTCCACCATGGCCAAGACCAAAGAGCTCTCCAAGGATGTCAGGGACAAGATTGTAGACCTACACAAGGCTGGAATGGGCTACAAGACCATCGCCAAGCAGCTTGGTGAGAAGGTGACAACAGTTGGTGCGATTATTTGCAAATGGAAGAAACACAAAAGACCTGTCAATCTCCCTCGGCCTGGGGCTCCATGCAAGATCTCACCTTGTGGAGTTGCAATGATCATGAGAACGGTGAGGAATCAGCCCAGAACTACACGGGAGGATCTTGTCAATGATCTCAACGCAGCTGGGACCATAGTCACCAAGAAAACAATTGGTAACACACTACGCCGTGAAGGACTGAAATCCTGCAGCGCCCGCAAGGTCCCCCTGCTCAAGAAAGCACATATACAGGGCCGTCTGAAGTTTGCCAATGAACATCTGAATGATTCAGAGGAGAACTGGGTGAAAGCGTTGTGGTCAGATGAGACCAAAATGGAGCTCTTTGGCATCAACTCAACTCGCCGTGTTTGGAGGAGGAATGCTGCCTATGACCCCAAGAACACCATCCCCACCGTCAAACATGGAGGTGGAAACATTATGCTTTGGGGGTGTTTTTCTGCTAAGGGGACAGGACAACTTCACCGCATCAAAGGGACGATGGACGGGGCCATGTACCGTCAAATCTTGGGTGAGAACCTCCTTCCCTCAGCCAGGGCATTGAAAATGGGTTGTGGATGGGTAATCCAGCATGACAATGACCCAAAACACACGGCCAAGGCAACAAAGGAGTGGCTCAAGAAGAAGCACATTAAGGTCCTGGAGTGGCCTAGCCAGTCTCCAGACCTTAATCCCATATAAAATCTGTGGAGGGAGCTGAAAGTTCGAGTTGCAAAACGTCAGCCTCGAAACCTTAATGACTTGGAGAAGATCTGCAAAGAGGAGTGGGACAAAATCCCTCCTGAGATGTGTGCAAACCTGGTGGCCAACTACAAGAAACATCTGACCTCTGTGATTGCCAACAAGGGTTTTGCCACCAAGTACTAAGTCATGTTTTGCAGAGGGGTCAAATACTTATTTCCCTCATTAAAATGCAAATCAATTGATAACATTTCTTACTTGCGTTTTTCTGGATTTTTTTGTTGTTATTCTGTCTCTCACTGTTCAAATAATCTAGACTGATCATTTCTTTATCAGTGGGCAAACGTACAAAATCAGCAGGGGATCAAATACTTTACCCCCTCACTGTATATAGCCTCGCTACTGTTACTTTACTGCTGCTCTTTAATTATTTGTTTTTTATTTTTACTAAACACTTATTTTTCTTAAAACTGCATTGTTGGTTAAGGGCTTGTAAGTAAGCATTTCACTGTAAGGTCTACACCTGTTGTATTCGGCGCATGTGACAAATAAAATTTGATTTCATTTGAATAACATTGCTTGTGAACTTCAGAGCTGTAACGATTTGGCACTTTTGCTTTGGTTAAAGCCAAGTACAAAGGCATTCTAGTAGTAGTCATCAATCCTGCTTGAGTCTACACATTCTGGGGGATGCCAAACAACGTCATAATCTCACTGGCGAGCTCTCATTGGCTATTGCTGATCACCGTTCTCAAAACTTGACATTGCACATCTCACATTACAACAGCATTGCAGATTTTGTGCCGATAAAATCAAACGTGTTTGAAAATATCGGGACATCTGGGACTGCTCACAGACGGGATCGGTAGCCCTCAAGATTGCGTCTCTGACCCGCTCACATTAAACTAGTTTTGGTGACGGCCGTGCACTCCGAATAGGCAACAACATGGGATTTTTTATCCGATCTCAGAAATCGGGGCCAAAATCGATTAGTGTACACCCGGCTTAAAGGTTTAAAGGCTAGCGGTTGTTTTTGGACTATCCTATTTAAAAAGCCTTCTTTCTTTGGGTTTAAAGGGAGGGAAGAGAAGTAGTGTATATGGTGCTTGTGTGTCATACTCACGTCTAGCTTGTCCAAGTCTAGGAGGAAGGGGTTCTTTGTTGGCAGGCTCTCTTTGTGCACCATTACATTGCCCTCCCTGCAAAGATAAGTAATTTACTTCAGACACATAAACAAGGTTTGGGGGAAACACACAGACACAGACACATGCACGCACACACACACACACACACACACACACTTACCATGTGAGAGCGGTGGGATCCTTCCCAGTCTCATAGAGGCTCCCCTCCTGTCTCAGTGTCTGAAGGCTACCTATAATGGCAATGGACACAGAGGATGTTTATTCAGTATTTAAATGTAACCAACCTTGTTGTTCAATCTATATCTACCCCTGTAGCCACAGTAGCTATCCTCTTACTCCAATGACATGCATTGTCCATTTGTCACCATCATACCTAAAGATGTACACTGTAATTGTGGCAAACTTTGTAAAACCTTCAACATGACATGTTTACTCACTTTGTGACCTCTAAGTGACAATCAGCAAACCATCGGTGTGAAATTTCAAGGAAGCGGTTAAGTGCTTCAAAACATTTCGGCAACGTGGTGCCCTTATGAATGATGCCCTGCGGGTTACCAAGGGTTGGTTACCTTTGAGGTCCATGGCGATCAGGCGGGGGGTGTAGGTAATTTCACCCCCAAAGGTTTGCCCTTCTCTGAAGAGAACATCATTCTGGAGCTCGCCTGGGGGTGCATCTGGGTCGTAGGTCAGCGAGGCATCCTGATGCAATACAAACAGAAGGAGAGGGAGGGAGAAATTAGAAAATGTATTTTAATGGTGGCATAAGATGCTGTCAAGATTTACATATATAACATATGATTTTCCTTAACATATTTGTTATGTATACTGTGTCAACTCATACAAAGACAAATGGTCATTCAATGTGTCACCTTCCATGCTGCATAGGGAGGTGCACTAAGCACCAATTGTCAATGTTTATGAAGACAGACAATAAACAGACCATACTAAAACATAAAGGTCCTACACCATAAATAAACCATCTCTGCCTACACCCTCACAGCAAAGACAGAGTTAGCGAGCTAGCTATCTCTATCTTTAGAGCATGTCTTTTTTTCTGAGTTTTATGATTGACTCCTGGATTTTTTCCTCCTTGTTGTGTTAGCTAGCTACATGGATTATTGTATCTAGTTAGTCTTGCTCTAGGGGTATATAACGTTAGCTGGCGGTGTAATTTCTGTCGATGGTTGTTGCAGTAAACTGTGGGCCACACCCTCGCCTCGCTCACTTTTGCTGCACTTCTCACCCTCTGCACCAAAACACCACTCTCCTCCGCATTGTTAGCTTGGCTATTTCAGCTTGAATGTACGATAGCTAGGGTCATGCTAGCTAACTAACTACAGTAACTAGTTATGTCAAAATAGTAGTGGCTAGCTAGCCTGCTAACTTAGGCACGTACTGCACCAGTGGTTAACTCAAATAGTAGCTCTATAGCTAGCTTGCTAAAAAATCTTCAGATTTAAGCATTGCCCACTACAACTTTTAGAACACATGCATATATGCAGAAACCGCTAACTTTAGAGCGTATCAACCTGTAAATTCCACCAATGTGTGCCGACGAAGTTTGAATAGTGCCCGAGTTGAAGAGTGACGACTTCTCTACACAGGCTACCCATCGTGACGTCTACAAGCTAATACAAAAAAATATATCACAAATGCATAAATCTGTTCATTTCAGAAGATTCTTTAGAATAAGGAATATGACAACAGAGTTTTGGATCACTCTAACGCATATCTGCATCTTTCAGAAGGAGCCCACCCTTGATGAAGGCCTTAGCGTCTACTATTGGCTAATAAGAAGTACATGAACGAATATGATTGGCTTTTTAAAACGTTTTTCAAAAAGTGGATATAGTTCGGTTTCACTGCGCCGTGGAGGCACACGTGCAGCGCACAGCGCTCTGATAGGAGCGCGGTGAAACAGCAGCCTCCTAATTGGACTGTTGATTGTAGACAAAGACCCTGTACAGTAGACTGTCTAATGTTGGCCTACCTGCGATTTATGAAAATAAAATATTATGGGTAGACTATATTTACGACGAGAGGATACATCTTCACTGATTAAAATTAATAAAATAATCTCTAAAGATGGGTATAGACAAACGTTTGTATAACTAACCCTCTATATAATTAACCCTCTCTATCTCATTGTTCTACATATGTGGTATAGAGCTCGCCAGTTTGTAGTCCTAAAACCCGGAAATAAGTTGCTTCTGGTTTGATCAGCCATACCTATGGGGAAAATAAATGGGAAAGAATAGGGTTTTGGGATAAACGTCGAAAATAAGGTCTGAGGTTAACACAGTCTTAGGAGATCTTATACGTTTTGTTCTATGAGATAATATCAGTCAGTTAACATGACCATTGTGAATTATGAAACTTTATGTGCTTTTTTAAAAATACATACATTCTTCAAAATTCACAAAAAGTGACGTTATCTGATGAAGATTATCTCATAAAACAAAACGTATAAGATCTCCTAAGCCTGTGTTTACCACAGACCTTATTTTCGGCGTTTATCCCAAAACGCCATTCATTTCCCCATAGGCGTTGTCCATCGAACCATTGCGGAGTTAGTGCCTACAAAAAAACGCCATTACTATTTTTCTCTACGGCACTGTAGGAAACGTCATCTTGGGCAGAGTTGTCACATGATACTGTATGTGCAACTACAAGATTGTCCCGCAATGCTTTACCTTGCCACACCTTTGAAACAACTCACCCGTACATGAGTTTCACTTTACGACCTAGTCTGACAAACACTGGGAGAGTTTAACGTATTTACTTGATTAAAACATCCTATTTGAATCTCATGGAACAGCAGTAGCCTGTAGGTAAGTCAATCTAACTACAATTAGGCTACAGGGTTCAAAGGTCCTTATGTCTTGGTTTTCACTATGGATTTGGTACAGTATCATTAGACCAGACTCACAAAACAAGTTTTATGACCACATTGCTTCTCTGCAACGCTCTCTGTTTCCGCACTGTATTACAAATTGATATAAAGTAGGCTAACACTTATTTCTTTACCTTTACCAACTGTATATATTTGGTAGTAGAATATAAAACAATCTCTCTCTCTATCTGAGTGCAGTGGGCATAAGAATGTTGATAACTTTTCCTGTGCAAAGTGGGAATTAACTTCCTTCTTCCATTTAAAAGAGTTCAATGCTCACTGATGACTCACAGCTCATTAGCTTATCAAATAGATTATTTATTACTGTGTGCCTGCAAACCATTGTTTTATCGCTCTTGCCTTTCAGGTGAATCAGTGGGACTTGCCCTTATGAGAATGTTTCGTACCAACTTGTTTTAGGGAATATAATTTGAAATGTTGAAACACAAAGGTAAATAGTCACTTTGCAGACAGACAGACGGGCCAATAATTGCACTCACGACACATAGCCTAGACAGGAATATCATACAGACAGAGACAGGCAGAGAAACAGTGGTGTCAGAGCATCTGACTTTAAACCCAGAGCCAGGTGAAGACAGAGCTGGAGGGCCTTCTACAACCAGTGGGTCTACTGCTGCAGGACCCCAAACACCTGGATCGGAACAACAGGGCCTAGAGCACAGGAGGATGGAAGAAGAGAAGGGGGAAGAGGATGAGAAGCAAGAGAAGGAGGAGAAAGAGGAAACCAGCTCAGCTGCCTTGGAGCCTAGCAGTTTGCCGTGGCCGGGAGACCGAGAGATGGAGCGAGAGGGAGAGAAAGGAAGTGTAGCGTCCGAGAGAGAGGGGACTGAAGGGGAGGAGGAGGAGGAGGAGGAGGAGGAGGAGGAGGAGGAGGAGGAGGAGGAGGAGAGGGGGGTAGAGACCAGGGAAGGGAGCCAAGAGCTTCTGGAGGGACAGGAGAGCCAGCCAGAAAGTGAGCGAAAGGCAAAATGGAGAGAGAGCATGCCGGAGGGAGAGAGATGGACGGATGAGGAGGTGGAGGGAGGCCAAGATGAGGAAAGGGATGGTTCACTTGCAGATGATGAAGATGAGGAGGAAGGCCCAGTGAATTGGATGCCAGAGAAGGCTACGCAGGTCTTCACTCCGACAGTGATAGTGCGTCCATCTAGCAAACGGGAGGAGTTCCCGCTCGAAAATAGCCAGTATGAGGAGATGGACACTGAGAAGAGTTCTTTCTTAGAGCCCCAGCCACATACAGCCCCACCAGTATACTACTACCCACAATGGACAGAGGAGCCGGACAACTACACACGTATGTACCAGTGCCGGACCAATACCATTTATGTCAATTGGGGTCAGTTCCATTTCAGTTCTAATCAGTTCAGGGATTGAAGTGCATTACTATAAAAAAAACATTTGTCATTATGTTGAATTTTCCAAAAAATGTATGGTACATTATTGTTTATCTGATCCATTCCCGTCTGATTATTGTTTATCTGATCCGTTCCCCCTGAAGCTAGGACAACAGAGTCCCTGCCCATCTTCAGAAACATCTGAAACCCTACCTCTTCACAGAGTATTTAAAATAATCCCACAGCGCACCCACCTCCTTACTAGCTCTGATTTGCTGATAGCTACTTTGAGGAAAAATGTAGTTACTATGACTGTGACATGTGGTTGTCCACTCCCACCTAGGGCGGCAGGTAGCCTAGTGGTTAAGAGCATTGGGCCAGTATCCGAAAGGTTGCTGGTTCGAATCCCCGAGCCGACTAGGTAAAAATCTGTTTATGTGCCCTTGAGCACGGTACTTAAACCTAATTGCTACCGGATAAGCGTGTCTGCTAAATGATGTAAAGATCGATGTTAAGATCGATGCACTAACTATGTCGCTCTGGATAAGAGCATCTGCTAAATTACTAATGTAAAAAAATATAGATGTACTGTATATCTCTATCATGTGTCTGTATATTGGTATGAAAATTGTCATGTAAAATATGAGGTAAGAGGAAGTCTACAATATTTCCTGTTGTCATCGACCAAAGAAATGTCTGTAGTTTAAAAAAATATATTTTATCTTAATTTGTTTTTATTATATTATAATAATATTTTTTATTTTAAAAACACTATTTTCCCCTTGTTTGGCTGTAGTTTAATTGAACCCAGATTCCTCTGTTATTTAGATATGTGTGGTTGCGGTGATGTTCTGAAACTTGGCCTGGGCATTGGTGCTGCAGCTATTATATTCCCTCTACTTGTGTGGGGCGGCTATGCCCTCTTGCCCTTTGATGCCCCGCCACTGGACAGCGCCCCTCTCAGGCTGGTGTACACACTACGCTGCTCCTTCTTTGCTGTCATACCCATCATGCTAGGTAAGACTGTGGACCATTAGGGTTGGGCTGCGATATGGCGTTATCGCCTATCAGCGATTAATAGACTCATAATGTGTGTTACTTCTTGCTCTTGGCAATGCTAATGTACTCATGTATGCATTGCTTTGCTGTGCCTCACTTTTGTCTCATTCAACCTCCCAATCGTCCTCCCCCCCCCCCCCCCCCCCCCCCCCTCTCCCTTGCACTGTCCCCCTTTCCTCCTCTCCTCCCTCTCCCCTCCCACCCCCTCTCCAGGTGTGCTGGTGCAGGGGGTGGCGCGGCTGCACTATGGCGCCCTAAAGCCCCTTTACGAGGGCAAGGTGGGGGAGGAGAGCCGGGAGGTGGCGGTGCACCGGCATTATGTGGGCGACTCGCTCTCCCTCTTCCTGCTCTACTTCCTGCAGCTGGCCGTCATGGCGACCTACATCAGCCAGGACCTGCTCAAGATGGTGCCCCTGCTCACCATCGTCTTTGCATTCGGCAGGTGAGTGTGAAATGTGTGTGTTTGTGTATGTTCAATACTCGGCCTCAGTGGTGGCAGCGCATTCTACACTGGATGTTCACGTTTATTAGCGTGTGTCTGGTTATGTGCATTCACTCTGCAGTTAGCAGAGATGTAGCTGACGTGGAATCACTAGATAGTCAGACGTTTTGAGATTGGGCATACCTCTGCAGTGTAGTCAGCCTAAAACGTCCCATTGTTCCTCTTTCTCAACAAGGGCCATGGCTTTTGTGGAGGGATAGGTAATGCTGCTTCGTGGGTGCAGAATGGGTTGTGTTGTGCAGATGGGGCCTGGTGTGTGTGTGTGCGTGGGTAGTCGCATTCCCTTATCACCTGATCCATACTTTCACTTAACATTGTTATCCTTTTATAATGTTTGTAAACGCTTGATACGTTCTCTGTATATTATCTCGATGTTCTCTGACCCGTAGAATGATCGGGTATTCGTCTTTCTGTATTCGTTTATTATTCTGCCCCGCCTTTGGGAGATTTGAATTTGTCTTGGCAGACTGGAATGTTGATGTTTTCTGTTAGCAGGAAGTATCTTTAAATTACTATGTAGTCTACCTTAAAAGTTTAGACTGGGGCAATATGACAGCGCGTACTAATATTCACTGAATATGGGCGAGTTTGTTTAACATGGCCAGTGCCGCGGGTGGGCAGTTTGCAGATTTTAGACCATTCCATTGGTCCTTAAGTGAAATCTCCACCCACCCGGGCACTGGGCCGTGCAAAACGAACTCGCCCCATGTATTTTCTTCTATAGGCTGAACTACTGGGTTCATGTGACCCAATTGGCTGATCTTGTTGCGATCTCTCACCCTACAGGCTGATCTACTGGGTGTGTGTGTCCCTAGGCAGCAGTGTGAGGGGGTTGGGCTTCGGCCTCTCCTTCCTGCCCATACTGGCCATGCTGGGTGCCAACCTCTACTTTGTGTGCTCATCACTCAGTGAAGGGGCTGTCTTTGATGTGGCCCCGCCCACCACCGCCCCACCTCCCAGGCAGAGTTGGTGGGGCTAATGAGGAAGAGGAGTAGATATGCCCAATCCTGAAGCCTAACTGGACCCCCAGTCCCTAGACACTTGTGTAGATCTGAAAAGATTAGATATGATAGGGATACATTTCATGGGAATATGTCCACTTTGCCTTCTGATAGACCAGGGGCATGCTCAGTAGGCAAACATTGTGCAACCTTGCAGATAGAAATGTATTCCTTACTCTACATGTCAGAGATGCAAGTGTGTTCTCCACAATATAACACACATTCCCCAATGTTTTTCCCTACTGAAGAGTTGGTTTGAAATATTGTTGGTACCCATTCAGCTCTACACAACTGTCATGGTGTTGATTTGGAAGGAGAGAGGGAAAAATAATCAAGTTAATCAGCTTGGATTTCACCTCCATCTGAAACATATTGGATTGCATTTGCAGTGGTTTATGGCAAAATGGACAATGCAACAGTTAGCTACCCCATTGAAGTTACGTGTAATTAAAGTAAAAATGTATGCACGCATGACTGTAAGTCGCTTTGGATAAAAGCGTCTGCTAAATGGCATATTATTAGTATTATTATTATTAAAGGATTGTGTGCTATGAAGTGTCTTATGCCATACATAAGCCAAAGAGGAAAGGACCATCCATAAAAGAAGACATGTAAGTCCTGGGTCGTGTTCATTAGGCACACAACGGAAAATGTTTAACATTCTTATTGGACAAGTCCAGATAGTTTGTCCATTTTCCTCCGTTTGTTGCCTAAAACAACTTTGTGCAGTAAATCCTTAGTGTTTTATTCCTACCTCTTGGCTTTGGTGAAGGCAGGTCCAGGGCCTCACTGGAAGGTTTCGGAATGCACTATGACATGACTAGTCAGCACTAGACGGTACATCCTGAAGGGGGGAGGGGGAGGGCGCCTTTCCCGAAATTATTTACAATTATGAAGAACTGAGTGCCAACTTTTCTGAAGTATAAACCTAATGCAGAGTTTATACCTTTTTTTGAAGGAATAAAACAAAGTCAATGCTGATAATTATATATTTCCAACTGTGCAATGTTTACTGCATTTATTTCATTTCTACATTAGTACAGCATTTAATACTCTCACAATGGATGGGAATGAAGAGTAGGATGTCAATGAGCCATTTAATGCATTGTTTTATCGTGATTTTTCTTTAATGCCTACACGCAATAATGTTCCTTATGTCTGTACAGTACCATAACCAATGCACATACAGTACATTGTCCTGTTTGTATATGGCAGCCAGCTGATATAATTGTTGTATTCCCTTTGGACATTCTTGTGTGTTTCAATGTGGCTTAATGGAATGATGTGATGTTTCTCATAATAAAGCTAATACTCCTGAGTTATGTCATGACATCATGAAGCCAAGGGATGAGATGGGGACTGGCAGTAGCTAGTTCATCAAAAGAAGACAACAGATACCCATTTCACTCAATTTGTCTATTTAATATATAAAATACGGTAAAACATACGCAAAAAGGATAAGGTTAAGGGACTTGGATACTTTGGTACAACAAACACTTTTTTGTAAAAGCGGTATAGAATTTTAACATCAGTGCATACATTGTATATGAAAATATTCACAAAATGTATATCATTCTCAAAAACAAAAATAATCTTTACAACGAAAACCCAAAGCAGACTAACTGAACACAATATATTAGCTATAATTTATGTATTTCTTATGCTACATTTGAGGTTCTTACTCATTTGTGATGCATTTCAATTTTTTTAAATGTATGTAACATTTGCATTTCTTAGTTTCGTATAATCCCATGCATTTACATTTTCAAATTCGGTTAATTGCTAATTTCAGTTTCCCCCACATAAATAAATGTTCATATCTTAAAATCAGTATTGCAGCATTTAAATGGTATTTTCCTTCATTGCATTTGCTATGTCACAATAACTGATCGTGCAATTTTAGCAAGTTGTTTCAAGAAAAGGAAAGCAGTTTCATATATATCATGTATATAAAGGTCGATGAAATAAAAGGTTGAATATCCTACACAAAATACCAGAAAAATATCAGCTCCATAATAATATAATATTAATAAAAGACAATGGAACTGTCACCAGCACAAATAAACACTTGAAAAATAGTAAGATCTAGAAAACATTTTACACAAGAAAAAAAGGGTGCAGGTTTTTCATTTACCATTATAGATTGTCTTCAGACTACATTGCTAGATTGGAAAGAGAACCTTTTGTACATGAGTGGCCTGCAAGTGTCAGGGTGTTGAATCCTAATCAGTGTGGTGTCAAATGTCTCAAACCAGGGGGCCTCTCCCTCAGACTGAAGTGGGCGTGACTACGCAAAAGTTTAGATAGAAATGTAGCGTGTAGAAAAGAAAACCCTTTGTCATAAAGAATTGGGCATGGTTGTCCGTTCTAGACATTACATTTCTATCTGCAACGTTGCACCCCACTAGATAAGTCACTGGTGCCAGCCATACGCACTGAACCCTGGGATACCCTGAGCAGGCAATGAAACGAAATCTGTGTTGCATAATGTACAGTAGTTACTTTTATAGAAATCAACACCACCTTCTTACATTGTGTCAAATAGGACAACTCCATTAGACATAGCTCACGGCAGAGTGTTAAGCATATGAAAACATGATTTCATGAGACATGGGATTAAATGTGATTTCCAATCGGCAAATTACTTTAAATTAAGTAGCGTTCGTTTTCGCTCAACCTGACAATGTATACTGTAGTTCACGAAGTCTGATCATTTTAAGACAAAATACCATGATTCAATGCAATTGTACTACTTTAATAGTCCAATCCATTTCATTTCTATAACTTATGTTATAGTGGTCTATCATTTGACTTTGGGGATTGGGTTCAGAGCGTGAGGTCAAAGGACATGTTGACACCGCAGCCAAGCAGGCCTCAAGAGTGAGACAGAAAGTGCACACCACCAACACTAGCATTATACAGGTTACTGAAACAAACTCAGCGGATACTGCGGCAGGACTCCTGCATCGTAGCTCGAAACATATCACAACCACACTCATATGCAAACAGATCCACTGAGAATGAACACATTGCTTGTTTTAGGGATACCTAGCAAAGTCTATGCAAATATATTCATATGTACACACATTGGCTGTATTGAAAAGCCTACTGCTTTGCTGCCAACTGAAGCTATAGAAATATAGAATATGTATTTTTGAATTCTGCTGAAACAGCTCTTTTGAAACATTGCAAAGAGCTGCAGAAAGCTAAAGGAACATCAAACACTTTTGTATAATGGGCGATTGTATACAAAGTATTACTCTTAATTCCCCAAAACTACAGTTGAACAGTTCTAACCTTTATGAATGTGTCCAAAATGCCAAGACCAAATACTTCCCTAAAGAGAGCAACCAGAAGTCCAAAACAAACTTAAAATATGCATTGCATTGAGGTTTTCTACTAGTAGAATGAGCCTTTAGAAGTCCTGTGACATGTCTCTCACCATCTAGCCTAATTTATGTTGCAACAATTCCTTCAAAATCAGAAAGGAAACACAGGTGATTACTCAAAATACATCTGAGCATAGAGATATTGAGAACAGAATCAAAGGCTATGAGTGTTTTTTACTGTTTCATGGAGGTTGTCAGTCATAATAACTGAACAATATTCTTCAGTGTCCCTGTACCACGTTCGAGGCATTTGGCATTTAGGAAAAGAGGTTGATATCGGCACTCTGGCAAGATGCTCGATTTGGCCCTGGCTGACAGTGCCAGTTGACCACAGAGTGCCACCTGAGGCTTTGGCTGGGGTGTTGGAAATTGGTGGCAGCGGTGGGATCCATTCCTGTTTATCCCTGACCAACCGGACATCTATTTTTGCCCGTCTGGGGTCTCTTCGCTCAGTGCCACCGATGAAGCTGAGCCAGCAATCTTTGCAAGCAGTGCTTGTCAAAACAGAGTAATTCCCAAAGTGCATTTTGAAGGGGTGCTTTCTGAAGCAGACAGTGCTAACTGCAAATGATATCTAACAACAGAACTGAAGAGTCAATATGGCAGAAAGTCCCACGGTGAAAACAACCAGCACTTGTGTCAAGAAAACACAGCAAAAGCCGTCCGTCATACTGTTAACGATACAGTCGTGCTCAAATTAAATACGTGACTGTGTCGTCTACCGACTCTAGATTCACTTTTATGTCTGGTATAAACAGCAATGAGCAGTCAAAACGTTTAGGAGAATATGTTCTATTTTAAATCCAACCATTATCTTCTTATCGTCCTGGTGGCGCAAGTGTCAATTCCCATAAAAAACACAAACTCAATTTGAGCGGGACAGCGTCGAGATTCTTTGAGCGCCCATATTCAATGCGCAGCCCCATACAAAATCCAACCGCACACTATACCATCCTCCCCTCAGGTGGAGCAAAAGCACATACATTTCTGTCTCTGCTTTGAGTCCTGGGGAGCTGGGTAGGTGGTTGTAAATTCTTTGTTATGGAGGCAGGGAAGAGGGGGTTGTGTGGTGGTGGCAAATGGCGGGGGGGGGGGGGGGGTTGGGGGAGGGGTCTATGTTCGTGGTGCTTCAGGTGTCGATGACGTTGGCGCCATGGCCTCTATGTGACCCACGCGTCGAGTCGCATGCGTTTGATGTTGGCTCCCTCCTGCTCCGCCTCATTCTGGGCCCGCAGGAGCTCCATCGAGGGGCTGAATTCAGGGGGCAGGGAACGGCCAGGGTTGCCCGCTGCACTACCGCCGATGCCTCTTCCTCCTCTGCCGCCTGCCGCAGGGTCGTCGTGGTCGTTGCCCTTGTAGGAGCTGCCGTTGCTGCTGAGGCTGTCGGCGGGGGAACGGCCGGTTGGGGGCTCCAGGCACAGCAGGGAACCAGGGTACTGAGGAGGAGGTGCGGCCGTCTGGACGCCCCCTCCGGAGAAGGACGGGGTGGAGGACGGCGGGGGGCACGGGGAGCCGCGGTCTCGGCCAGGCGAGATGGGCTCAGACTTGATGCTCATGTTGGAGTTGGTGTTGACAGTCAGCATGGTGCCCTGAGGTATGTGCCCCACCGGCCTGAGCGTCGGTGAGAGAGAAGTGCAGGAGAGGGGAGGGGAAAGATGGACAAAGATTAAGCACAGAGATGGAAATTAAGAGAAAGAGAAGGAAAACAGGATGGGTGAGAGTCAGTTTCACTTGACAATTACAATGTATTGCAATACAAGCATAGTGACAGGTTTCTGATGTGAAGTTTTGGAGGCAACCCCTAATCACAAGACAGAGCACCAACAAGGCATAGTAGTAGCAACACCATTTTGAATCGATGATCAAATCCATTCCAAGCAATTCACAAGTAAAAGTAACCCTCAAGCTCCCAAAATCCATACAAAACAGGCCGACAGCATTAGAAAAGCATGAAATTGTCTGTGTATGAAGGGGTGATTTGGCAAGGGATCATGGAGGCTATGGAAAAACAAGAATCCAGAAACTGGGTTTTTCAGAGATCCCAGTTGGAGAATTCCCAGTTCCAGAATTTCTGAAAAACCTGGGAATTTTGGTAAAGTTTCCGGAATTTTGCAACCTTACACCTGTTTTAGAAGAGGTGGAAATCACCACCACAGAATTGACATGCCGGGGCAGCCAAAAGCGCACAGACATTACACAGTATGGAGAAATACAGTACCGGCCCAACCACTCATCTCTACCCAAGAGGAGGTTGGACTGCGAGGCGCTGTGGGGAGAAAGAAACATTGGAGCACTTGCAAAATAAAATTACAGAGTATGTAGCTATGTATGTGAAAGAAGGTGTATATGAGTATTCATCAATCTACCGATCCATCTATAAAGCAATGTAAACAGGAATAGATGGATATCATAATACATTTATGGAAATATGTATATGTTAGGAATAGATAGATCATAAATAGATTGAAGTTGTGCCCAATCCCATTTCTTCAAATATAGAAGAAGCATAACAAAATAAGAGCTGTGACCATCACATTTTCAGGAGCGGTAAATAATATTTCATGATTTTCTTAAGTGGTCTCTGGACAGTCTGTTGCTGATTCATAGTTAGTGCAAGCCTTTGTGCCCCCCTGTGGTTAATGCTAATATGTCAACCTCTGGAAAGGACAACTCCCTCCCTTTATAATAAGACTTTGCGTGTGTTTGTAAGTATAATTTGCATTGTCCTAAATAAAAAAATTCTGAAAAGGGGTCTGTGTTCTCTTAAGGAAGGAAAACATCAAATAGAGAACAGTCCCCATCCACCCGAAGGTACACTTAACACCTCGGCAAAGACATTCACCTCAGATTGGCCGCCAGACTGGAGATCTGGCTAGACAGGTCCCCGCTCTGTTTGTCCATGCCCCACATGCTGTGGACAAGAGGAAATAACACTCAGTCACACAGACTACTGAGGCTGAGTGTGTGTACACGGTGGCCATTTTGACCTTTGACCTCTATTATTTGGATCAATTGACCACCTGAAGATTTGGCTGGGCTGGGTTGGGGGAGGCGGGGCGGGGCGGTATTGGTGCTAGCAGTGGGATCCATTTTGACCTTTGACCTCTGCCGTTCGAGACAAAACTGTGACTTTTCTCTTTCGGGCCTTGAAGACCCGCCTGTTAGCAGCTTTGGAGGTTCTAAGCAACTACGCTACTAGGTGCTGCCGTCGTAAAGCTGTGTGTGGAGTCAAAACGCAGCATAACACAACCGTCCATATTGATGCCCTGTGTGAGGAAAGGAATACCTGGGATCTGACCTAAGATAATTAGGTATTTTATCAGTATATAAACTTAAATCAAATCCAGTATTAAGTCGCATCCCTAAAAAAAACGATGGTGCTTTAAGAAGAAAAGGATCTGCGTGGCATATGTCGGTGACACCAATTCACAGACCCCATCTAAAGGATGTGAATTGCTTGCAGCTACAAATGACATGGGGACACAATGCTTCATGATAGGAATGGCCAGTCGCATAGTGTTTTGATGGACAGGTCAACAGTCATCAATTGGTTTGTAGGCAATGCAAGGATGGACTTACACCAAGTTGCTAAGCGACGCCAGACTAAGTTGTTGCTGTTGTTGCTGCTGCTGCTGCTGGGATAAAGACTGTTGCCATGACACGTTGCCTTGCAGCAAGCCGCCTGGTGACGCCAAGGCATGGAGAGCGGTGATGTCAGCGCTCGTCAGCTGGTATTCTGAGGGAGGCGAAAGACAGAGGGAAAATGGTTCCACATTAATTTCCTTTTGTGTTCTGTAATGTTTAAATTCATCAAACTTCATCTACAGTCAGGTCCATAAATATTTGGACATTGACCAAGTTATAATTTTTTTAGCTGTCTACCACAGCATATTGGAGTTGAAATCAAATAATGAATGAGCTGAAGGTGCAGACTTTCAGCTTTAATTTGAGGGTATTTACATCCAAATCGGGTTAACGGTGTAGGAATTACAGCACTTTTTATATGTGGTCCCCCCCTTTTTAAGGGACCAAAAGTAATTGGACAATTGGCTGCTCAGCTGTTCCATGGCCAGGTGTGTGTTAGTCCCTCATTAGTTCATTTACAAGTAAGCAGATAAGAGGTCTAGAGTTGATTTCAAGTGTGGCATTTGCATTTGGAATCTGTTGCTGTTAACCTTCAATATGAAGTCCAAAGAGCTGTTACTGCCAGTGAAGCAAGCCATCATTAGGCTGAAAAATCTAAACAACCCATCAGAGAGATAGCAAAAACATTAGGTGTGGTCAAATCAACTATTTGGTACATTCTTAAAAAGAAAGAACGCACTGGTGAGCTCAGGAACACCAAAAGGCCCAGAAAACCACGGAAAACAACTGTGGTGGATGACAGAATAATTATTTCCCTGGTGAAGAAAAACCCCTTCACAACAGTTGGCCAGATCAAGAACACTCCAGGAGGTAGGCCTATCTGTGTCAAAGTCAACAATCAAGAGAAGACTTCACCAGAGTAAATACAGAGGGTTTACCACAAGATGTAAACCATTGGTAAGCCTCAAAACAGGAAGACCAGATTAGAGTTAGCCAAAAAACATCTAAAAAAGCCTGTACAGTTCTGGAACAACATCCTTTGGACAGATGAGACAAAGATCAACTTGTACCAGAATGATGGGAAGAGAAGAGTATGGAGAATGGAAGGAACTGCTCATGATCCGAAGCATACCACCTCATCTGTGAAACATGGTGGAGGTAGTGTTATGGCGTGGGCATGTATGGCTGCCAATGGAACGGTTTCCCTTGTATTTATTGATGATGTGACTGCTGACAAAAGCAGCAGGATGAATTCTGAAGTGTTTAGGGCTATATTATCTGCTCAGATTCAGCCAAATGCTTCAAAACTCATTGGACGGTGCTTCACAGTGCAGATGGACAATGACCCGAAGCATACTGTGAAAGCAACCCAATACTTAAAGGCAAAGAAGTAGAATGTTCTGCAATGGCAAAGTCAATCACCTGACCTGAATCCAATTGAGCATGCATTTCACTTGCTGAAGGCAAAACGCCCTAAGAACAAGCAGGAACTGAAGACAGCTGCAGTAAAGGCCTGGCAGAGCATCACCAGGGAAGAAACCCAGCATCTGGTGATGTCTATGGGTTCCAGACTTCAGGCAGTCATTGACTGCAAAGGATTTGCAACCAAGTATTAAAACTCACAATTTAATTTATGATTATGTTAGTTTGTCCAATTACTTTTGAGCCCCTAAAATTGTGGGCTATGTATAAAAATGGTTGCAATTCCTACACGGTTCATACAATAATTTGGACAAAACCCTTAAATGAAAGATGAAAGTCTACACTTAAAGCACATCTTGATTGTTTTATTTCAAATCCATTGTGGTGGCGTACAGAGCCAAAATTATGCAAATTGTGTCACTGTCCAAATACTTATGGCCTGACTGTATATAGGAACTCAAACTCTCTACACACTAGTGCAGCTATGGTGCATTTTGCAGCTGTTTGTTACTCACTGTTTGTTACTCCGCCACTCTGAAACAACTGATTTCCAGTAACATCAAGTATCAGGGAGAAATGAAAACCAGAAGGACTGCAGAACTCGAGGGCCAGAGTTGTGCAAGCCTGAACTACAGTGTCTGTGCAGTATATACAATACAAGCATGTATACTGAACAAAAATATTAAAGCAACATACAACAATTTCAAAGATTTTACTGAGTTACAGTTCATATAAGGAAATCAGTCAATTGAAATCAATTCATTAGGCACTAATCTATAGATTTCTCATGACTGGGAATACAGATATGCATCTGTTGGTCACATTAATTTTTTTATTTTTATGTAGGGGCGTGGATCAGAAAACCAGTCACTATCTGGTGTGACCACCATTTGCCTCATGCAGCGCGACATCTCCTTCGCATAGAGTTGATCAGGCTGTTGATTGTGGCCTGTGGAATGTTGTCCCACTCTTCAATGGCTGTGCGAAGTTGCTGGACATTAGCGGAAACTGGAATACGCTGTCATACACGTTGATCCAGAGCATCCCAAACATGCTCAATGGGTGACATGTCTGGTAAGTATGCAGGCCATGTAAGAACTGGGACATTTTCAGCTTCCAGGAATTGTGTATAGATCCTTGCGACATGGGGACATGCATTATCATGCTGAAACATGAGGTGATGGCGGCGGATGAATGGCACGACAATGGGCCTCAGGATCTCATCACGGTATCTCTGTGCATTCAAATTGCCATCGATAAAATGCAATTGTGTTCGTTGTCCATAGCTTATGCCTGCCCATACCATAACCCCACCATGGGGCACTCTGTTCACAATGATGACATCAACAAACCGTTCGCCCACACAACACCATACACATGGTCTGCGGTTGGCCGGTTAGACGTACTGCACATTATAGAGTGGCCTTTCACTGTCCCCAGCACAAGGTGCACCTGTGTAATGATCATGCTGTTTAATCAGCTTCTTGATATGCCACACCTGTCAGGTGGATGGATTATCTTGGCAAAGGAGAAATGCTCACTAACAGGGATGTAAAAAACATTTCAGAGAAATAAGCTTTTTGTGCGTATGGAACATTTCTGTGATCTTTTATTTCAGATCATGAAACATGGGACCAACACTTTACATGTTGCGTTTATATTTTTGTTCAGTGTATAAGCATTTGTAGCAATCTGCTCATGCTTCAGGTAACCTGTGTTGTAAGCTGTCGGCATGGCGGAGAAGGGCAGCCCCTGCGCCAGGAGGCTGGGCGTTGTCACGGAGACCACCGGCGTGGTGAGCGCCTGGGCCACTTGTGCGCCGGCCAAACGCTGGGCATTCTGGGAAGAAAGGTGAGAGGGAACATTTTAGACCAAATAAACAAAGAATTTAAACCTTGGTGTTGGACAGAAATGAGTGACATGTTTAAAACCCCTGCGTATTCAATGAATGGAACTTTTGACATGATCAAAAGGTCAAAATGTTGATACGGTTGGATTCATGACAAGCTAAGCCTTTCAAAATGTATCTCGTATTAGGTGGAGGTGCTATCGGGAGACATCTTTTGACATCATGCATCAACACACATAATAGTTGTGGTGGCATTGCCAGGTGAATGTGAGTGAGCCTTAAAGGTATAGTTCACTTTTTTTGTTGGAAATAAGCTTACTTCAAAAAGTGAACTCTCTCTTTAAATGTATGCCATTCAATGTTTGGGTAACCCCATGCAGTTTCCAGATGGACAGGGAACGTGCTACAAGATGGTGGTGGCAACAAACTGCCAAGTGAAATGACACCCATCATGCTGTCCAATGGTGTCAGGGTTGATGGAAGAAAATGGGCCGGCAAACGATGAAGATGATCCAAGTGAAGTGTGTGGCGACCATCGCCCAAAGATGCTGCTAACATTCCCACTGATAGATGCTAGCATTGCTTGAAAGCATCTTTATTTTCACCTTAAATACAGCAACTGATCATAGTTGTAGGACTATTTGCAATCATGCTGGAATCACATAACTACGACCCTAAAACCACATGCAGTCAGGTGGCGACCATAAACTCATGACCATACCACCACATGCCATTGGACCAAAGACAAAAATAATATCTATACTTCGGCCTTAAATGACACACTCATGGGCATTGCATTGCACACTTGTGACCATGTGAATGGAGGGGGAAGGTCAACAGTCATAGACACATGCGAGTGACAGGACAGAAAAATTCACCTCATTCACCATCTCCAGCTCATCATCTGTCTGCAAAGGGGCGGGAGCGGAAATAATTACGCCACTGACCTGTCTCTGAACCCAAATACATTCATCTCTATTCACCACCGACCTATGACTAAAGGTCATGCTGGACAGAAGACCGTGAACATAGAGAGGAAAATGTCCTGTTTGTCAATGATACTACACTGAGTGTACAAAACATTAGAAACACCTGCTCTTTCCATGACATAGACTGACCAGGTGAATGTTATGATCCCTTATTGATGTCACTTGTTAAATCCACTTCAAATCAGTGTAGATGAAGGGGAGGATACAGGTTAAAGAAGGATTTAAGCCTTGAGACAATTGAGACATGGATTGTGTATGTGTGCCATTCAGAGGATTAAATATTGAAGTGCCGGGGTATGGTAGTAGGTGCCAGGCGCACCGGTTTGAGTGTGTCAAGAACTGCAACGCTGCTGGGTTTTTCACGCTTGTGTGTATCAAGAATGGTCCACCACCCAAAGGACATCCAGCCAACTTGACACAACTGTGGGAAGCATTGGAATCAACATGGGCCAGCATCCCTGTGGAACGCTTAACACCTTGTAGTCCATGCACCGGCGAATTGAGGCTGTTCTGAGGGCAAAAGGCGGTGCAACTCAATATTAGGAAGGTGTTCCTAATGTTTTGTACACTCAGTGTACAGTCGTGATCATAAGTTTTGAGAATAACACAAGTATTGGTCTTCACAAAGTTTGCTGCTTCAGTGTTTTTAGATATTTTTGTCAGATGTTACTATGGTATACTGAAGTATAATTACAAGCATTCCATAAGTGTCAAAGGCTTTTATTGACAATTACATTAAGTTTATGCAAAGAGTCAATATTTGCAGTGTTGACCTCTGCAATCCGCCCTGGCATGCTGTCAATTAACTTCTGGGCCACATCCTGACTGATGGCAGCCCATTCTTGCATAATCAATGCTTGGAGTTTGTCAGAATTTGTGGGTTTTTGTTTGTCCACCTGCCTCTTTAGGATTGACCACAAGTTCTCAAATGGGATTAAGGTCTGGGGAGTTTCCTGGCCATGGACCCAAAATGTCGATGTTTTGTTCCCTGAGCCACTTAGTTATCACTTTTGCCTTATGGCAAGGTGCTCCATTATGCTGGAAAAGGCATTGTTTGTCACCAAACTGTTCTTGGATGGTTGGGAGAAGTTGCTCTCGGAGGATGTGTTGGTACCATTCTTTATTCATGGCTGTGTTCTTAGGCAAAATTGTGATTGAGCCCACTCCCTTGGCTGAGAAGCAACCCCACACATGAATGATCTCAGGATGCTTTACTGTTGGCATGACACAGGACTGATGGTAGCGCTCACCTCGTCTTCTCCGGACAAGGTGTTTTCCGGATGCCCCAAACAATCGGAAAGGGAATTCATCAGAGAAAATGACTTTACCCCAGTCCTCAGCAGTCCAATCCCTGTACCTTTTGCAGAATATCAGTCTGTCCCTGATGTTTTTCCTGGAGAGAAGTGGCTTCCTCGCTGCCCTTTTTGACACCAGGCCATCCTCCAAAAGTCTTCGCCTCACTGTGCGTGCAGATGCACTCGCACCTGCCTGCTGCCATTCCTGAGCAAGTTCTGCACTGGTGGTGCCCCGATCCCGCAACTGAATCAACTTTAGGAGACGGTCCTGGCGCTTGCTGGACCTTCTTGGGCGCCCTGAAGCCTTCTTCACAACAATTGAACCTCTCTCCTTGAAGTTCTTGATGATCCGATAAATGGTTGTTTAGGTGCAATCTTACTAGCAGCAATATCCTTGCCTGTGAAGCCCTTTTTGTGCAAAGCAATGATGAGGGCACGTGTTTCCTTGCAGGTAACCATGGTTAACAAAGGAAGAACAATGATTTCAAGCACCACCCTCCTTTTAAAGCTTCCAGTCTGTTATTCTAACTCAATCAGCATGACAGAGTGATCTCCAGCCTTGTCCTCGTCAACACTCTCACCTGTGTTAACGAGAGAATCACTGACATGATGTCAGCTGGTCCTTTTGTGGCAGGGCTGAAATGCAGTGGAAATGTTTTTTTGGGATTAAGTTCATTTTCATGGCAAAGAGGGACTTTGCAATTAATTGCAATTCATCTCATCACTCTTCATAACATTCTGGAGTATATGCAAATTGACATCATAAAACTGAGGCAGCAGACTTTGTGAAAATTAATATTTGTGTCATTCTCAAAACGTTTGACCACGACTGTATATTACTGATATATTATAGTGTTGAATATAATATGTTTTTATAACCTTTGCTTATTCTAGATTGCACAGGTTGTGTTTTGGCAATCTGGGGGTTTTGGTGGAGGCACAAATATTAAATACAACTCCAATGTCCATACTAGATTTCACTCTTGCTACGAAACTGAGATGACCATGTGCATAATAAGTGTCAACGAGTTTGTGGAACGGGAACAGCCACAACCCGCATCAATTATTATTTTGATGCAATTAAAGTTGACAAAACACAGACAGGTCCCATTTAGTCTGGTAAAGCCTGGTTGGCTCTGGTTAGACCTGGTTTGGCCTGGTTCTGATTGAACTTGGTTAGTGGTTCGGCCTGGTTGAGCTCACCATCTGCATCAGACTCTTCCCGCCCTGAGAGGTGATTACCCGGAGGTCTGGCTTGCGGTTGTTGACCATCTGTGGGCTCTGAGGTGGGGGCGGGGACTTGGCCGGGACTACTTTCCCCAGGCTGTTGCCATTGGAGATAGAGAGGAGGCCCGGGGAGGCCCTGGCACTGATGTATCCGTTAGCTGGAGGGGAAAAAGGAAGGTAGCGAGATAAATTACAAAACACGTGCAGGTAAATCAACACCTAGGCACAGCAGGAATTGTTTAGTGTATTTAGAAGATGGAACCTCAGAGGCTAATAGTCCTTTATTTCATGATCACTGATCTGAAAGTAGCTTATTTGACATACAGCACAGACCCATTTTCTAATCTATCCTTCAACTATATGTGGTCACAGAGGAAATTAGATGAGGGAGGGGGGCTGCCTTCTTGGGACAGGTCTTTTTTTGTGCAATGTGATAATCTGAATGATGCAGGAATTTGGGGGGGGAATACACCAAGAAACACCAGGGGAAAATGTATTTATATATAATTATAAAAATGCCTCCACTATGACAGGGAAAATGTTGATGGGGCAGGGTTGTAGTGCTGCCAGAGCAGACAGAAAACTATACAAGGAGTTGCTAAAATGTCTGTCCTCAAAACAGTTTTCTATGGACTTGGGGCTACGACACAATTAATGAACTCGCCCTACTGTCCGAGTGTCTGTCTTACAAGATCACATGCGCCTAATGATTAATTCGTATTTTACATAGCAGAACCGAATATAATAGCATATAGCATAGTAAGCCTATATTACTTTACACCAAAAACACTTTCTCAGTCATTTCTTATGCGCTTTTAGGATGGTTACTCACTGAAGCTGCATAGTCCCAATAATCACCTGTAAAACGTGAAGAATTATCATTCATGATTGACAGTGATGATTTCCTATTTGTATTAAAAATATAACATTTTGATCCCGGGCTGTATCACAATCGGCCGTGATCGGGAGTCCCATAGGGAGGCGCACAATTGGCCCAGCGTCATCTGGGTTAGGGGAGGGTTTGGGGGGGGGGGGGCTTTACTTGGCTCATCGCGCAGGCTGACCTCGGTCGTCAGTTGAGCGGTGTTTCTTCCGACACATTGGTGCGGCTGGCTTCCGGGTTAAGCAGGCGAGTGTTAAGAAGCGCGGTTTGCTGGGTCATGTTTCGGAGGACGCATGACTCGACCTTCGCCTCCCGAGCCCGTTGGGGAGTTGCAGCGATGAGACAAGATCGAAATTGAGGAGAAAGAAAATAAATAAATATTGAGACAATAGGCATAGGCAGTCGTTGGAATTGGAGCATTTTCTGCATATTCTATAATGATATTCAATAGGCTACATCAGTCAGTACAAACTTTGAGAAATTATGACGGCATACATTTTTTTTTGTTCTCCCACACCCCAAAAAAATTATAATAGCACTACACCACTGGTTGGGGGACAACAGACACCCCTGATGTGCTCCCAACATGCAACTCAATGACAAACAATGTTTTAAATGAAAAAAAGTGCCCGTCCTCAGCTTGCATTGCTCGTGAGCTGTGAGGAAATGTGTACATTCCACAGCAAAAAGTACATTCAGAGTACACAGAAAAACATGTCGTGTCACATGATATGATACGTGACAAAATGTCTTTACATCATAATCTCAGCTATCCCTGGATTGCGTGCTTCAAGCCTTCTTAACACTAGGTCTCCCCCTCTCGCCAAAAGCCTGGGGCTATATTTGGTTTCTCCCCAAGGGAGGGTTGACACCTGAACCTTCTGGGTCCCTCTCTCCGCCTGGCTCCCACATTGCTCTGGTGTCTATCCAGGCAAGTGCTAGGGACGCCAGCTGACGTCACTGGAGACATTCCCAGATGATCCGGGGCAGTCTCAGTAATAGTGGGACAGTAAATGGCAAAGAAGATAGGAAGAGATGGAGAGGAACTTCTAAGGACCTGGACTCTGGATGGAGTATATGATTGCTCTTAGCAATGTGACAAGCATAAAACATTTTTCACATTCTTTCAGCAGGCCCTTTTCTTGAAAAAAGCAACGTCCGCATCTTTAATATGCTGATATTTATTGAGACATTTGGAAAAGTTCTGTCATTTGAGCATCTCAATAAATCACTGTGGGAGCAAATCATAGTGCGGAAATTTTTCTGTATAACACCTAAGATGTTGGATTAATTTGCCCTTTTTCACTGAGTACACCCATTTCTTAACACATTCACTGTCCATGAGCGTAGTATTGTCAGTAGCAGTGGTATTATAGAGTAGTCTGTCATAAGGTTACTCACAGACTGGACTTGGGCATCCTCCATTTGAGTTGTTAAGGTCACCGCCGAGCATAGCACCTGGTGAAGCAAGGAAAATATGAACACTCCTACTAGCAGGACACTGAATTAAAATGTATTTAAATTACTTTCACATACATTATAAGTATTCAGATATATATTTTTTGAAAATACAAGTAATTGAATATTGGCATGTATTTGAAAATACTCAAATACAGAGTATTTTTCAAATACAAATAAATACTCCCATGCATTTGAACCCAGGTCCTAGGAGTATTTGTAATAATGTATTTGGAAAAAAGTATTTGAAAATATTTTTCAAATACTAGGCCATTTATTTAAAAAAAATATCGAAATACTTTCAAATGCTTCCAATAGAAGTATTTTTTACATTTACATTTTAGTCATTTAGCAGACGCTCTTATCCAGAGCGACTTACAGTTAGTGAATACATATTTTTTTATACTGGCCACCCGTGGGAAACGAACCCACAACCCTGGCGTTGCAAACGCCATGCTCTATCAACTGAGCTACATCCCTGCCGGCCATTCCCTCCCCTACCCTGGACGACGCTGGGCCAATTGTGCGCCGCCCATTAGTCTCCCGGTCGCGGCCGGCTGCGACAGAGCCTGGATTCGAACCAGGATCTCTAGTGGCACAGTTAGCACTGCGATGCAGTGCCTTAGACCACTGCGCCACTCAGGAGTACATCAACAGTAGTTGATTTGGGCCACATTATTAGAAAATCCTCAAATACACAGAAAGTAAATATTTAAATAACAAATAATCAAATACATGTGTATTTGATACCAGGTCGTCTGGATTCATTGCTTCAGAACAACATTGATTTTAAACGGGTTTCCAATTCATTGAATTGTAACAATTAATTGATTGGAACCAGGGTCTTGTTCATTTGGCACCAAATGGACTGAAACAGGGAGGAACTACCTGGACTTAAGAAACACTCATATTCGTTTTCTGTTACAATTTTATTTTATTTTTTTCCGTTGCATGTCCTAATGAACATGACCCTGGTTATGGCAGAGCACAGATTTTGTGTGGAGAGGAATGATGAAGACCTCATTTCTCACACATGCCACAGTAGAAGGCCGTCCCGCTCTTTCGCTCACCTGCACTGGCCGGTCGCTGTGTCAACCCAGGAGACACTGTGTTTCTCTGGAGCGCCGGTTGCTGGGACGACAGGTGGTGGTTGTCGGAGAGCGATGACGACGTCACGTAGGAGGTGGTCACCATGGCGTTGCCAGGGTTACTGAATTGCAATGTGTTTTGATTAGAGGCTTGGACGGTGACAGGCATGGAGAATGTGGAGGGCGGAACCGCAGACTGAAAGAGAATTGATAGTTAGCACTTTCCAACATCGTTTCAGGTCTCTTGACTTTTGATAAGCAGACAACGGAAGAATAGCAGCATCAAACTGCTCTAGGTGAAGGGGAGCTTTCACCATATAGGGCAGTGTTTCTCAAACTTCTGAGTACCACCAGCCAGTGCACTTATTTGACCTATCCCAGTACTATCACCTGTACTAGGGGATAGTGGCTAGCTAAGGGCAAGGGTTTTTTAGATTGGGGGAGATGGTGAGAAAGAGAGAGATGCTTACACTTACGCCGTAGCGCTTGAAGAGGATGTCTAGGTCTTCGGTGGTCTTGCGGTATTTGTCGTCGTTCAGGGGGCTCTGGTCGATGGAGTCCTCTCCGTCCGGCTCGGGACTTTCACAACCGTTGAAGCCTTTCTTTCGCAACGTCTGTGAAGACAGGATAAAAAAAAGAGTGGCAGGAGATAAGAAAGGATGGGAGGTGGAGGTGAGTCTGGCTGAATATGAACAAGTACACTCGAGCCGTATAGTTCAATATGCATCCGAGGGAGGAAAACGGAAACCACAACAATTTCAAGGTACATTTGTGCGATAGCCTGGTTCCAGATCGGTTGTGCTGTGTAGCCAACTTTAAATGATCGTTGTCATTGCTAAATGACAATAGGAGTTGGGTATACAGTACAAAACGATCTGTGACGATGCTAAGCATCCGATGCATTTCCTAAGACTTCCGGACTTGGCAAGAAGACACACAGCTCAGTTCTGAGACAACATTCCCATTCCCTCTCTGGCTTCTATTTGTATTCTACAACACTGGAGGCTACAAAAAAGCGACACGACACTGTGGCTGCAATACGGTTCATTGTTCTCTTCAGACCTGGGTTCAAACAGTTAACTATGCGTGATTGAACTTACCTGGCGCAGTGGAACCAAAAGGAAGAGTCAAAAAAAGCACAAACCCTGCCCACCTGGCATTGTAGGCAGGTTTAAGCAAAAGCTGTACGGTAAGAGGCTGATAGCCCTTTTTGTTTGCTTTACCTCAATGATGTCGGTGTTGGTCCGGCTCTCGTGGGGCTCGTTGTACTCTGTGTACTTGAGCAGGACCTTGTCCATGTCGGTGCTGGCGTACTGGAACAGCTTGTTGGAGTGGTTGAAGATGATGAGGGCGATCTCACAGTCACACAGCACGCTCAGCTCGTACGCCTTCTTCATCAGGCCAAACTTTCTCTTGGTGAACGTCACCTGGATTGGGAGTGGATAGAGAATCAATCTATTACATTTATTTATACAAGTACTTTTTTCATCAGCATTGTCACAAAGTGCTTTACATAACATCATGGAGGGAGGTGGGAAGAGATTGCAGAGGTTGAGGAAAGTGACAATGAGTTTGAGTTGTAGTGTCTGTAGAAAGTGTCAATTTATGTACTGTCATTAACACATCCGACACAGTGTTAAAAATCTGAGTGAACCGGCAGTGTGGGTTTCCTTTATCTGCAATGGAGTGAATTGGTGCCACAGGCAAGTTCTTCAGTGACGTTTTCATTAGGGCACACTGTAGCAAAATGCTTCAAAACATTGTCACGAAAAATATCTCCCTCCATTTCAGTGTTTTCTTCCGTTTCGTGCCTAATGAACAGGACCCAGCTTTGCCACATGCAACTAATCCCATTCTCTTCAGCGTACATCTCTTTACCCTTCTCTCTTTCCCAACTCTCCTTCCCCCGGTTTCTCAGATCCCTGAACATGCAAATGAGATGATTTGATGAGAAAACTGCTAAGGGCCTTCAATATCCTTCCCTCAGAATAACCTCCTTTAGATATAGAGAATCTTCACACACATACGTCACAAAAACACAAGCAAGCAAGTGCGCACACACACGGAAGAGCAATAGAGGACAAGGAAGGGTGTAACATCTACTGGGGTTATGCTTTTGTAATATGCTATTATGCAATGCTACTGTAGTGATATGTAACCGTTGGTCAGCAATTATGTATTTGATTTGAACGTTTCCTGTATGTTATGTGTGTATATTTCTGAATTACCTGAGGCAATAACAGTTGCAATGCTAATATGTTTTGTATGTACCCTCTGTGTATTGTGGGTATTTTATGCGTTTTGCAATGTACAACCAGGAAGGTTATTTTATTGTTTAACCATTCATGACCAATAAATGAATCTAATCGGAACAGCAGTCAAATAGGAGGGTGGTGAGTGGTGATTCTATATCTATTTGCGAACAAGAAGCGGACAGTAACAGATTTCCCAAGACCGTAGCACAGACACACCCCTACACCCGGTCACAATTCCACTCCCACACACTTTTACCCTTTCAAACACACACGTACGCAAACAATCACTTTTCTCAACACACCCCCACCCCCACACAAACACATTCACCCTTTTAAAACACAAACACACACACACACACACACACACACAGATCAGTAACTTCTGTCCCTGATATGACTGTGTCCACTGGCCTGCAGCTGCTGTGGGCGGATTGATTTATCTGGAGCAGCTGTCCACAGGGCTGTGTGTGATCTGATTGACTCCATGTTGGTTTGAACTCTGTGCCTACTCAGCCTGAAACACTATGCACTCTCAGAAAGGGCCATGGGTGTGCGAGTGCTCCATTCAAGTCAAACAAACTAAAGATACATTCTGCACACACCCTATACAAACCCAGAAAACAGTAACATTACACTACAACACTGATATGATGTTCATTAATGGGCACAGTGACACTAACACTAGTACAGTACATTAACATAGGGAAAGACATAATTTTGCACCTGTTATTTTTAGAAGGAAAAAAGCTAAAACCTTTAACGTCTTATTAAACATTAACTATAAGCTCTTCTTCCTTCTCTTCAGCTATGTTTGACCTTTTTTGGTCCATTTATTATTTCAACAGGTGCGTACTTTGCACCGGTACAAACGTTGAATCTGGCCCATGGTGTCAAATGGGCCTTGGGGGGCTAACACATAAATCGGCCCGCCTGGGTATGATTGGGAGGAAGGAAGGATGCCTTTTTTCAGTATTCAAAGAGCGACAAGGCCACACATCTTTCTTGCCTATCTTATAAGGAGTCGACTATATTCAAGGCCCTGGTCCAGACTATGAAGACACGGCCACACATCTCTGTCTCACCTGTCTGTTCCTCTCGTCGGTGATCCGTTGGATCTGAATCTTTTTCCTCCCCATGCTTCCTGGTGGTGGTGACTGTGTTGGCTGGGGTCAGTCAATCAGTCTCAAATGGTCAGAGGTGCCTCCTCTCAGACGAGGAGAGAGGGAGTGTAGCCTATTAGCTCTTTCTGGAGTAGGGGCAGACTCATAAACAAACACCACGTGCAGTCGCGCACACACACTCCTGACACACACACACACACTCCTCTGCCCAGGTCTGGGGTGACGGGGCAGAGGGTTTGCCGTTGGTAGAGGTGGTGGAGAGTTGCCCTCAGTTCATTGTTCGCTCAGGTGAAAAGGTCACCAGTTTCTCGACCGTTGCTGTGGTGAGGACGATGTCACTCCTGGAGAGGGAGAGAGACAAAGAGAGAGGGTGTTCCTTCTACATTCCTCATGTACACACAGCAAACAGCCTTTATGATGTGTTTTCATAAAAGAGATGTTTCGGCTGTATGTGACCAAAATACACAAGAAACTGTTGTCTACGATACACTGTGTGAGGAAAAAAAACAACAACAACAAAAAGACAACTAAAAAACTAACCGCAAGCTATAGATCAATTCAGCAAAGCAGATTTGCTTGGAATACAGCAACTTTACTGTTAACATATCCGTAAGTACTGTGGACAACAGAGTTATGCGAGAGAAACATGTTGTTCAAAACCTGTGGCTCAAGGATAATAGCCCAGGTAACGCTGTCTGACCGGTTTGAGTACACACACCCCTTCACACTGTGCCAACAGCTATTATGCTTCTCCATCAGTCAGTTTACACACACGCACAAGTAGGCACTCCCCGCATCTCAACGGCAGAAAGGCTCTGACGTCACCCTGCCATTGTCAGATGTGATCCCACAGCCCCACACTGAGGAAAGGCATGCTAACCGCCACTAGCACTTCCAACCGATTAGCAACAGCCCTCACCTATTCATAGAGGCTAGTCTGTGACAACAAGATGGCACGCTAACCACTAGCTGCGCAGGAGGGGATTTCCCATGCACAAGGACGTCAGAGGGAGAGACGGAAGGATTACGACAGGCATCTCAAATGACCTGTGTTCACACAAGACACATTTCTCCCCTGGGGGGTTGTTTGTACTTCCAGGTGAGCGTGTTAGATGAGAAGTATGTGGCCAGGGATAACATGTAGCATATTAGCGTGTAGCGTGATGTTTCATAGGCTGAAGTTAGATGAGAAGAAGCAACATGGGCAATTTCCTTCTTTGGAGTCAACTCAAACCTTGTTCCTTGGGGCCTAAGACTGGTGCGTGAAGCAACATCAGTGTTAGTGGACACATTCACAGCTCGAAAACATTCTGCAGTGATGTCAGAGTTGGAATACTGTACAGGGGACTGAATGACTAATAGATATCAGAAGCACCTTTATTCGCCAAGTACATTTACACATGCCCAGAATTAGCCATACCCTCGAAGATTAGCCACTTCCTGCCAAAGCCATTGGACCTGGAACAAAGCTGGTTCTTTTTTCACCATAGTCCACACAATAGATTGACTCTTTCAGCAGGGGTTCATTTCCATTCAGCATACATTTTCATGACATGCATGAAGAGGCTTCAAATATTAATTATATCCTCATTCCTCTCATAGGACTCTCCTGCAAATGAGACAATGGTGTAAGTAGGCCCACATCTCAAGAGCGCCTTATAGGCTCTTTGTAAAACTGTGTTCAATTAGCTGCTCTCTGAGTTTGATGAAGAACCTCGTTATTTGGCACTTGTTTGTACCAACCATTCATTTTTGGTGTTTAGGCTTATATGAATTCAACCCCAGGCTATAGCCTACTGCCCTCCCTAAGCTGGGATCAGAAGCATAAGGGAAAGCATCTCTATTCCAATCTCATTCCATGTGTCGTACAGTATTGCAGCTTCCCTAGATGCTAACTGCATTGATTACAATTTACTCAACTGGAGGGAAATCCTGCATACACAATGGGTCACCAGGATCAATGTTGAGGTAAATTGCACTATAACAAAATAACAAAAAGAAAACCAGGTAAATTCGTGCAGACCATAGTAACCCCCACCTCAGTCAGAACCCACTGGTGTCATTTAGTACATATGTGTCTGTGCCATCCACCATCATATCCAGAAGTTGACATGTTGGAGCAGCTGTTAGCGCACTTTCTGTTCAGACAGAACCAGGTTTTCCTCTAGGATTTTGCCTGTGCTTAGCTCTATTCAGTTTTTTGTTTTTTTTTCCTAAAAAAAAACTCTGTAGTACTTGCCAATGACAAGCATACCCATAGCATGCAGCCACCACCATGGTTGAAAATATGGCAAGTGGTACTCAGTGATGTGTTGTGTTTGCCTCAAACATAACGCTTTGTATTCAGGATATAAAGTTAATTTCTTTGCCACATTTTTTGCAGTTTTACTTTAGTGCCTTATTGCAAACAGGATGCATGTTTTGGAATATTTTTATTAATTTTCACTGTCATTTCGGTTAGCCTCGACTAACCTGTACCCATGCACATTGACTTGGTACCGGTTGGTTAAGGGCTTGTAAGTAAGCATTTCACGGTAAGGTCTACACCTGTTGTATTCGGCGCATGTGACAAATAAAATTTGATTTGTATTGTGGAGTAACTACAATGTTGTTGATCCATCCTCAGTTTTTTCCTATCACTGATTTAGTTTCCTTCCTCTCCGGCAATTAGTTAGGAAGGATGCCTGTATCTTTGTAGTGACTGGGTGTATTGATAAATCATCCAAAGAGTAATTAAATAACTTCACCATACTCAAAAGGTTATTCAATGTCTGCTTTAAAAAAAAAAAAAACATCTACCAATAGGTGCCCTTCTTTGCAAGGCATTGGAAAACCTCCCTGTTCTTTGTGGTTGAATCTGTGTTTGAAATTCACTGATCGACTGAGGGACCTTACAGATAATTGTATGTGTGGGGTACAGAGATTGGGGTAATTAAAAAATCATGTTAAAAACTATTATTTCACACAGAGTCAGTCCACACAACTTATTATGTGACTTGTTAAGCAAATGTTTACTCCTGAACTTATTTAGGCTTGCCATAAGAAAGGGGTTGAATACTTATTGACTGACATTTCAGCTTTTCATTTGTAATTAATTTGTAAAAATGTCTAAAAATATAATTCCTCTTTGACATTATGGGGTATTGTGTGTAGGCCAGTGACACAAAATCTAAATTTAATCAGTTCAGGCTATAACAACAACATTTGGAAAAAGTCAAGGAGTGTAAATACTTTCTGAAGGCACTGTAAATGCTGAAGTGTTTAAGCTCTGACCCTTCAAGCCCCTAGCTTTTCAGTGGGATCATTGTGAGGCCAGATGGAAAATATGCAAAGCTATCTCTGCAGCTGGTGGAGAGCACTTAGGTCCTCCACAAAACTAGCTGTATTTCAGCATTAAAAGGCCTCAGGAAAATGAAGACTGGGGTAATGTGCTGCCAATGTATGTGGCGCAATAAGTGAAGGCCTGAGTTAAAACCCCCACCATATGAGGATTTCCAACTGCACCATGTATCAGGCCAAGCACACAAATACTTGCTCACACATGGACACATACACGATCATGCAGCAAAAAGCCAGAAAGGGCATTGAAGACAGGTGGTTTAAGCATCAGAGAGATACTGCATCTCAGATTGTTCTGGCAGTTCTTACATAGTAACTTCACTGGGAGGAAGGATGTTTCATATGCTTTTTACATTTGTATCACAAACCATTTTTGAGAATATCATAATGAAAGTGACCATTTTAGGCCCTTTTTAGACCTATACATGCATCCTGTAAAGACCCTATGATCTGAGAACTGTACATAATACAGACATCTTGGTGTCATTATACTCCTCATAGTGTTCTCAAATATGGAGTATGTCTAGTTTCTGAAATACAAATGCTCTAATTCATTTAGTCAACATTACAAATATGAAAATCTCAAAACTAACTTGTTTGTTTGTAACAATATACTCTTCAAACACGTCATATTTCCAGAGTGGGCTCTCTGGTACTTTAACGATATTACCCATTTTATACATAGAAAATTGACATTATATGTCATTAACCAATCACAGACCTCCTTTAGGATTGCACATTCATTCAGCAACTCACCAGTAGAGGGAGTTCCATTTGAATCAATGTTCCCATTCACTGTGTTGGTGGTGCTCATAAAATTGATCATACCTTTAAAATTAACATAGTGATGGGGGGGGTCTATACAGTTACATTTTTGACGATATATGATATCGGTTTGACAATATCGCAATATTATTTTTGCGCTAGTTGGCTGTACCTGCACCAAAACTCCAGTATTTTTCCATCATAGCTTGTTCTCCATCTTCCTTTTAAATAGGGAGCCAATTTGTTATCAGCACTTTTATTTCCATGACTGATCAAAACTTGTTGTTTTCTCATTGCTCCCTCGTCCCTCTGTAGCAGAAATATGGTAAGCAAAATATGTTTTGAAGATACATATAATTTCAGCACCAAATTATCGCGATAATATCGTATTGTGAGGTCCCTGGCAATTCCCAGCCCTAAATTAGCAGAGAGCCCACTCTGGAAATGTGATGTACTTGTAGAGTATATTGTTCCAAACAATGTCTTAAAATTAACAAAATCAAAAATGATAGTTTTGAGATATGAATATTTATGTTGAATAAATGACATACTCCAAATTTTTGAGCACACTATAAGGAGTATGACACCAAGATGTTGTCTGGATCATGTACGGTTCTTAGATCAGAGTCAAGTATAGGTCTAAAAAGGGCCTAAAATGACCACTTTCATCATAAAAATAATAGTGATACAAATGTAAAAAGCATGTCAAACATCCTTCCTCCTAATGAAGTTTCTATGTTAGAATTGCCAGAACAATCTGAGATCCCAAAAATATGTTCGGCCTTGGAATCTCACAAGTGCGCTAGCAAAGGATTGCCATTTCAAGAGTTCATGCAAAAGTTCCATGCATAAGCAATACAGGCACATAGCCTTGAGTTGTAAATACATTCATGTGAACACAACAAACACAT